TTTCTCATTCGTTTTTTGATATGCGGACTACAAATCGAAAAGGCGGCAGCTGATGAGATGGGTACTCGGTCAAGAATATCAAGCAGGATATCCATCGGCAATTCTTCTATCTTAGACAACTTCAAAGCGTTTTTGACTGTACATAAAAGACTGTTCCAACGCCATTTGTCTAATATTGTCAGGTTGCGTGCAGGAGGTATGCTCCGAGAAATTATGACATCGAGGCGGTCCAAAAGTGTTTTGAGAAGGGGAATGAGCAATTCAATTGCCAATATGAAGTATTGATATCGAGGAGAATGAATTAAATGACGCTGTAATTGACAGATACAAGAAGTATTATCATACATAGACATTGTGAACTTTTTTCGATAGATGGTACACAAATGAACGGATGTGATCTTGTATCGATTTGTGAGAAGGATTTTCAACAAAGCTGGCAAAGAATTGACATTATCGCTAGAAAGATTAACAGCTGGGATCTCTATCAACTTAAATAATCATGAGTGATTGCTTTCAGATTTACTATGACGTCTGAAGTACTTGCACTATGATATGGAGTTAGTCCATTACTCTCCTCCAACTAAACAGACTAGGGTAGTGATTGACGCCTTGGAAAACCTCTCATACTTAGGTAAAATTGAGCAATACCGTAAAGTGAAATCAGAGGTCAAAATTACATGATCTATCAAAACCATACTTGGGGCAATGAGACTTCATATAAACCAACAGAGGAATGAATTGGACACTTCCAATTGGAAGTGTTTCAATTGAAAAGTAAGGTCGCTTTGTTCACGACTCGTACTTTTAGGTTCATACGCAATTCGTATATAAGCTTCTGAGCCATCGAATAATGCACTCGCAATTCTTCCTATACTTCAATCCGATTCAGTTAAGTCGACGAGTCTGTGCGGTTCAAGACTTCAAGTGGACGGTTCAAGATCTACTAGGTATTTGGAAAACAACATGGCAGGGCGTCAAAACGCCTAGGAATAACTGGCAAAAAGCTAAGCTATGTTGTCATTCTCATGATTGTTTGAATGTTGTCAGTGTAACATTGTTGACAGGATTGACATTGATGCCATTAATGATCAATAAGTTCTCAATTTGATCAATACTGTTTAGATGAAGAATTGCCGATGACTTTACTGCCAAGGTTGGGGTGCATTAGTGCGGAATGTTTCCTCACTTCTCTGCTTGATGTGTTGAAAGTCACGAGAATGTATCGTGTCACAATATTTATATCTCAATATACAATCCAAACTTTATATTCTACGTACTTGATATGAATCTCGGCAAATTTGAACTTCTAGTTGATGAAACAAGCAGTCAACATGAATCGTCTTCTATCACCTATTATCCAAGCTAGTAAATACTCCGTCCCTGCGAAGATGCCAGCCAATGCTTCAACATTACGCCAGTCTACCAGAACCTTAGCTGGAAGTTTATATGGTAGATCCTCAATGCTGAAAACACGGTTCATCTCTAATTCGGCTCACAATGGGGCCGTTCCTTCTTCCACTTTCAGCAAGTCAACAGTGTTATTATGTTCTCTCGCGTCTGCAACCGCATCACTATGCTTTGGATATGGCTATATGTTATACCAAGGTAAACTTGACCAAAAAGTCTTCGGATCCTCCATAAAGTATGCAGAACCGACTGTCATGCTCCAAGTAAGTTTTGGAGGAAGGAATTTTGACTATCACGTGATCATCACTCAACTAAGATGTGAACCAGGCCATTCAGGAGATTGCCAATGAATTAGGAGATAATTCGACTAGCTATGATGAAGAAGAACTATTGCGACATTCTTATTCAGAATGGTCAACTTCAAACTCGGAGACAAGACCTATCGCGGTTGTCTATCCGAAAGACACAGGTGATGTTGTCAAAATTGCAAAGATTTGTTCCAAGTATAGAGTTCCCATGAGTGAGTTCTTGTGAAAAATCCCGTAGCCTCAATTAGACTGACTGGTTGAAAATAGTACCATTTGGAGCGGGTTCAAGTGTGGAGGGTCATATTTCCACTCCTTGTTCGGGGTTAAGTATTGACTTTGTGAAGATGGATAAAATTGTTCAATTTCATCCAGATGAGTAGGTCTGACCACTATCATTATGGAATTGCGTTGACTTTTAAAAGTATGGATGTTGTCGTACAGCCAGCTGTGAATTGGGTGAATCTTAATGAGCAAATCAAGGATACTGGACTTTTCCTTCCATTAGATCCTAGTCCAACGGTATGTTTTCCAGAGGGAAAAATTGTACTGAGTTTATGGATTATCCTCTAATTCTTCTAGGCTCACATTGGAGGGATGGTCTCTACAAATTGCAGGTACAGCCATCTACCCCCAAATATTCCTGGCAGTTCTCATATTTCTTAGTGGTACCAATGCAATGAGATATGGCACCATGAAAGACTGGGTCATTAATCTGACTGTTGTTTTGGCCGATGGAACAGTAATAAAAACCCGAAGAAGGCCACGGTATGTTTCCGTCCTTTGATCAGATCTTCGTGCATTATTTGTTCTAACCATAAAGTAGTAAAACCTCCGCAGGTTACAATTTAACCTCACTCTTTGTCGGAGCAGAAGGAACTTTGGGGTTGATTACAGAAATAACTCTCAAGCTGGCTGTAGTTCCAGATACGACTAGTGTTGCTGTGGTTACATTTCCCTCTGTTGCCGATGCTGCAACAGCTGCCTCAAAAATCATTAGAACGGGAATCCCTTTAGCGGCCATGGAAGTTATGGATGAAGTTCAGATGCAGGTCATCAATAGGAATGGAGGCACTGGAGGAAGGATGTGGGAAGAGCGACCAACATTATTTTTCAAGTAGCTATCTTTTGACTAATTTACCCGCTCCAATAAAGTACTGACGAGAATAGGTTTTCTGGTACAGAGCAAGCAATAAAGGACCATGTTCAGCGAGTGCAGACCATAACCAAACAATGGAAAGGTAGAGAATTTCAATTCGCACGAACAGAAGAAGATAAGACTGTCCTATGGTCTGCGAGAAAAGAAGCTTTATGGGCAATGCTAGCACAACGGGCACCAGGTACAGAAATTTGGAGTACAGATTGTGCGGTACCTATGTCAAGGTTAGCTGAAATTATAGGTAGGCCATTACCTCCATTGAACTTTACCTATCCACTAGAACTTTTACCTTTGTAGATATTTCGAAAACAGAATCCGGGAAACTCGGTTTATTTTCCAGTGTACTTGGCCATGTAGGAGATGGAAATTTTCATCAAGCTGTTATGTATAACCCAAAAGATCCAGTCGAAACAGCTGCTGTTAAAAAATGTGTGTATGATATGCTTGACAGAGCATTAGAGATGGAAGGAACTAGTTCTGTTCGTACCTTTGCATTATCAAATATATGGTCAATTGCTAAGTTGATTTAGGGCGAGCATGGAATAGGTCTCGGTAAGAAGGTGAGTAACGAGAATTGGGGTTTCGGTTGCTCTGTGCAGCATCAGCAAAACTTCAAATATCCAATACAATTCGATCATGGCCGTCCTAGCTAAAAAAAAAAAACTATTAGGACTGCTTGATGAAGGAACTTGGCCTCGATACAATTACTGTTATGAAAAAACTCAAGTATTCTCTTGATCCAAAGTATTTCCCCAACTGACATTCAAATAGAGGGGAAGCTAATTCGGGATAAAACAGTTGGCTATTGAATCCAGGAAAGATATTCAATGAGCCATGAGACACGAGCTCCAAAAGTCGAATTCAATATTAGATGCTTGAATCTCTCGCCTCAAGTATCTCAAGTGACTCTCGTTCTGCCAAGCTTTGAGTGTAGTGGGACAACATCGGTACATTCAGAAAGAGTATGAGTAACTTAAAAGACGTCAATAGGATTCATTTGCTATCTACACTGTCCATGATATGATGGTAACCATATCCAAGCTTATGTCAGCGTCTCGTGTAATCTTTTCTCAAACAACTTCCTTCTCACCTCGAATCGTCCGCGATCTTTACCTCTGCAGTCATAAAATAAATTTCCATTTCCCCCACTAGCCCCACATGCGTTCTCGGAACGTTTACCCCGATTCCTCCTAGTTCCCACTGCAAGCCCTCTTTGCCCACTTCGCGGGTGAATTTTTTAATTGCTATATATATATAAATGGAGCACTAATTAGTAGATCAATAGGACCGCTGGCGCAACGGTAGCGCGTTCGACTCCAGATCGAAAGGTTATCCGTTCAAATCGGGTGTGGTTCAAGACCTCCATTGATCGAACTTTTGCCATTTTGATTCTTATGTCTTCTTATAGACTCTAAGTTAAATTCTTCGACATTTTTGCATCAATTTTTTTTGGCTTTACCTGGGAAATGGATAGGAAATTATCAAATCTCGAGGTTCAGCGGGTGCTTTGAACTTGGGAGTGATTAGCAAATTCTATTGAGCATCATTTTGGGACTCGTTTGTGAAACTTAGATATGTGGGGTTTGATCACATTTTTGAAATCCCCAGATCTGCTGACTTAAGAAATTCTGCAATTGATATGATATAATTTTGACTCCGCTCTTAACAATTCTGAAGCGAGAAACTCCATTAAAGGGGCAGTGAGAGAATCGGGAGAGGTATTCGGTATATGCACATGTACAGAATGGTGGAAAAGACATTATCCGATAAGTTCAACCGCGGATTGGTTACCCGACAGTGTCTGTTTGAACACTGGCTGGGCAGAAAGAATCAAGACAAATATCGAGTACTAATTTGAATTCAACGATAGATATATATACTCTATCCTCCCCATTTAATTCACAAGTATACATATTTTTCTTGTCGAATTATTCCCAATTCTTGTATCGAGAAGTTGGTGAATATTCTCGCCCCTTCATCGGATCCAGATCAATAGCCGACGCTTAACTCCCCGGCTTCAAATAAATTGCCGATTTAATCGCATCAACGACATTTACTATTTCCTACAAAAACTTCTCTTCCTCCATCAATTACCCTTCAATTCCTTAATCTCTCCTCTATCTGTAAATATGTCTCTCTCCCGCCGTATTCTCACCACAACTCGCCTTCCGGGCCTCCGCATAACATCATCTATCCGTTGTCAGTGGGGTCAAAAATCACGAGATTGTCGACACTTTCAAAGCTATGCCCGACTTCTCGAAGCGCCTCGAAACCCATACAAAGATGAGGAAAACGTTAGCAAAGCACCAAAGATTGTCAGAGGCGCGAGTAAAGTATATAAGAATGCTGATGAGGCCGTTGCGGATATCAAGAGTGGATCGACGATTTTGAGTGCGGGGTTCGGATTGTGTGGAACAGCTGGTATGTTGTTCTTTTTTAAAGAGCATGATTTTTGAGCGTTAAGAAAGGAGATCTTCATAAGATGTGATTCTGATATGGAACATAGAAACAATTATCGAAGCGTTAGAAAGAAGAGGACCAGAAAGTCTTCATTCCCTAACCGCCGTTTCCAACAACGCTGGAGCATCGATACCAGGTGGTCTAGGCGCCTTGACACAATCCGGTCAAGTAAACCGTTTAATCTTAAGTTTCATCGGTAGCAACAAGGTTCTCGAGAAGAAATATCTCGAGGGAAAAATCGCTATTGAATTATGTCCCCAGGGAACTATTGCTGAGAGATTGAGGGCTGGTGGGGCTGGTATCCCGGCTTTCTATACGCCTACCGGTGTTAGTAAGTATTTGCTTGATCTTTGAGATGAGATGAAGAATATGTGTATTGACGATTTATAGGTACACTGTTACAGACGGGTGGTATTCCCACTAGACTGGGTCCCCCAGCAGAAGGCTCAAAAGAAAATACTGTCTTGGAGAAAGGACAAGTAAGAGAAACTAGAGAGTTTGACGGCAAGACTTATTCGATGGAAAAAGCTATCAAGGGAGATGTTGCGATTCTCCGAGCATGGAAAGTTGATGAAGTTGGAAACTGTCAATTCAGGTAATTCCTCGTGATCCAATGCGCAAGATATCATGATATTAATAAATTATAGATACACCACTAGAACATTCGGACCTATCATGGCCAAGGCTGCTAAAGTCGCTATCGTTGAAGCCGAAGAGATCGTACCAGTTGGATCGATTGCTCCAGCTGATGTTCATCTTCAAGGAATCTATATCGATCGTATTGTTCCAGCTACCGTTGCTAAGAAATTAGAATTGAAGAAGACTCGTGCACCAGAAGGTAAAGAAGATAGTTCGAATAAATCAGATGCAATTATCAGAAGGGATAGAATTGCCCGGAGAACTGCAAAGGAATTGAAGAATGGTTACTATGTCAACCTTGGTATTGGTATGTTTTGCTTCCACATTTTGAGTTGGGGGTTCGGTAATCGCTAACGTGGAGTAGGTATCCCAACTCTTGCACCTTCTTTCTTGTCTCCTGAAACAAAGGTGTGGATTCAATCCGAAAATGGTATTTTGGGAATGGGTGCATATCCAACCGAAGAAGAAGTTGATCCGTGAGTTTCTTCCATCTGTAAAATACCGGCAATAAACTAACATCTCCAAGCGATATCATCAACGCCGGTAAAGAAACCGTAACTCTCATCCCGGGTGCCTCTACTTTTGATAGCGCCGAATCCTTCGCTATGATCCGTGGTGGCCATATCGATGTCTCTGTTCTCGGAGCACTCCAAGTGGGAGCTAATGGCGATTTGGCAAACTACATGATTCCTGGAAAGGTAAGCTATTCCTCCAACCCTCCTTCACCCCCCCCCCCCCCCCATCTATGTGTATCAAAAACTAACAAACCAAACCCACAGATCTTCAAAGGAATGGGCGGAGCAATGGATCTCGTCTCCAACCCTGACGAAACTAAAATCGTCGTCGCAACAGAACATGTTGCAAAAGACGGAAGCGCAAAGATCGTTCAAGATTGCAGTTTACCTTTGACTGGAGCAAAGGTCGTCAGCACTATTATTACTGATTTGGTAAGCCTTCATATACCTCTAAAGTTTTTCTGTGCTTCATCAAGCGCTTGTTGAAATGATTTAATAAGTAAAAATACTAATACTCATATTTTTAGTGTGTATTCGAAGTCGACAGAATCAATGGCGGTCTCACATTAACCGAGTTGGCACCTGGTGTAGATGTTGAGGAGGTTAGACAAAAGACCGATGCTAAGTTCGAGGTTGCAAGTGATATTAAGAGTATGGAGTAAGATGTATATTGTGGATGAAAATGATTATAAGTTATGTAAAATCACGAATGTAAAATGTTAAAATGTTCAATGTAGTTTTACTTTGATGACTTGAATGGGTTTGTTAAGAACAGTGGAGTTAGATTGAATAGTGAAGATGCATATTTAACGAAGCTTGGGGTTCTTCTGATGCTCATCGAATGCAAAATCGAAATTCGATCTCTCTATCCAAACCGAGCCCCGACATTCCCGAGATTGAAGTATTCACATTTGGAACCCCTGCCATCTACCGTACCATCTAGTCCATTATACCTCAAACATATCCTCACCCTCCCAAGTAACACAAGTCGTAGATAACTCCGACCCACCAACCGTTCCCGCTTGAAACGACTTAAACCTCTCATCCACCGATAGGAAAAGTTCCCAATCGTTCGGATCGCGAACTCTAGCATTCTGAATCCCTTTAATATATAAATCATCTGCTCTAATATAGGTCAGCCAATGAATCTCGTTCTCACAACATGAAACAACCAAACATACCTCTGTCTTCTCATCTGATATGGCGTCAATGTACACGGAGCCGGAAGCACCCTATCACAACCCAATATCCTCGCTCCTCTCTTCAACGCCGGGATCAAATTTTGCAGAATCCTCGCTGCGTATTTATCAGACCAGTCATGTAACACATTACAAATAAGATACAAATCTGCCCCCTTTACAGGCTGCTTTTGAAAGAAATCATGCGCCATAAAACTCAATCTGTCCTGCAGATCATCAGGTATCGTCGTATCTCTAACTACTTCGAATTTATCCTGAACAATACACTTGAGCTTAGGAAGGAATCTCAGAAGCTCAATTCCAACTGTTTCTTTCGCACCACCGACATCTACCACAAGACCATTTGCAGTATCGCCCCACGAAAAACATTCCAAAGCGCGTTGCACACTCTCACTTGGTCTACTTTTCAAAAAAGCCATTGCTTTTCCCATTTGTTGCGAGCGTCTAGAATCTCTTGAAATATATTGCATCATAGGAACATCCGTTCCATTAACAAGTGCATAGCCCGATTCATTAGATTCCTGCGATCCAGGCCATTTGATCACAGCATCGACTAGACGAGTAGAAGCGGGTAACATTTCTTCGCTTACAAAACAATGAAATCAGAGACGGGAGGGACCTCGGCAAGGGCTTTGGAAGATGCCGTATGTGCGATTATTCCTGGAGATGGCTCGTAGAATATGTAGAAGGACATTGCGTGGCGAATCAGGCTGCGAGCGTTGGACTTGGGGATGGAACATGTTTGGGCGATTTCGGGGAAGGCAGATGTGCGGGTCGAGGGGAACGAATTAGCGCTGAGCTCAGGATTAGTTGTTTGTGGTTAAAGGTGTAGGAGAGAACATAATGAAGACAGCATGAGTCAATGGGCATTATTTGATGACGCTTAAGTAGGATGAAATATTGTTCTTACATCCCAAATCGTTGTAAAGCGGTCACACTTATCCAAGCATTTGGCTATGAAAACAGGGAGTCAGCTTGTATCTTTTCTGAGAAGACAATACTATGAAGACATACGGGAGGAATCAAAGATTCCACAGGTCCGAGCATAAGAGCAGTCAACTCATCCGATGCTTCAAGAACAGCAGTTCTAGAAGCTTGAATGTCTGGCGGGAGAGAGAGTCTGAGGGGAGAAGAGACATCAAAAGAAAGAGAGGGGATATTATTAGAAGCAAGATATTCATCAACTTTGCTGGTATGTTTTTGAATTGTCCCGACAAATTCTGCTATTCTGGTGGTTGGAGACACCTCGAGTGATCGTTTTACTTCTCCAAATCAATCTTAATATTTGTCTTGGAAAAGTAAATCTTTTAATACTGGTACATTGCTCAATGACGAAGAAATTATTCTCTTTAGAGCCCAGCATCACGTAATGTTGGAAAGTTCTCCTTTGTTGGCATATATCCATTATCAGTTCTAACTGCAGTAGAGGTTGGTAGACACTAACGCAACTCATCATGTGCAGTATCCCCACTACAAATGGAAACAACTCCGATGTTTCTCTTTTCTTGCGGTATCGCCAGAGAAAGATCGAATATGGAATTCTTTATCCTCAATGTGTGTCCCTGGCAAGAATGCAGAGTATATTTGCTGTAATGAAAATTATCCCAAAATCGAGCGACGCTGATGTCCTGGTGCTGATCTGATGTTCAGAAAAGAATATTCAGATCTTACTCGGTACCGGAAGATAGTTGTTGGAACAAATCATTATGATGCAAATATTCCTTCATACATTGAAAACTCCCAACAGATAAATAAGATGAACAATTTGCAAATAAAAAGAGAGAGATTTGGAGAGATGTCCAAGATTGCCAGATAGGTATAACGAAGTCCATTCTATCGAGACTCATCACTTCCTTCTGATCGCGAACGAATTCTCTTAAATTTTCAAAGTTTCATCTGTATCCGAAGATCGAGACTTGGAAGCAAACTTGGATGAGAAACCGGGACTGGTCTTTCTGATTATCGAGGCGGTTGAAGCAAAGGTTAGAAGAAGAGATACACATTCTTCACTAGCCAAATAAGAAAACAACAAAAACGAATGCAACATTCAATATTAAACTCTTTTTATCCTCGTACTCAAGTAATCTGTCGAAAATGACATTTAAAAACACATCTGAGAATCGGGTTGCGAGAATTGGAGGTCAAAAAGCGAAAGATGTAAAGATGCACCAGTAGCTTTACTAGGTGTAAGAGATAAGCTGTGAATTACAATGACCATTTGATACTGTCCATGGAGATACAATCTCTAACAGCGTGGAAGAATATATACCAGAGATATCACCACACATGCAAAGGAACTTGTAGAATATTGATACTTTAGACCAACGAAACCCACCAGGACGGACTATAAAAATCCCAAGCGGACCAAGCGGCCGCAATCTACCCTCATCCCCGCATCTCCATAATAATTTCCATCTCCAGCTTGTGAACTTTCCTCCCCTCGAATACTCAATTCTCAATTCGCAATCCTCCTCTTTTCCCGCCCAATCGCACAAATATATACATATATATATAAATCCGCCATGGGCAAAAACAAGCGCCTCAAATCCTCCTCCAAGAAAATCAAAGGAGGCCGCGGACCCGGAAAACCCAAAGCAGCCGGAATATCGAAACCCAGCTCCAAGATCCCCAAACCCTCTGGCGTGCCCACGAAAAAACACAAACAAACCCATCACACTGTTCCTATAATCCCGTTTTCCTCTCGCGATTCCATCCTGCTCATTGGCGATGGAGATCTCTCATTTGCGCGCTCCTTAATCACCCATCACGAAGTAAAAAAGTTAACGGCTACGGTTTTCGAATCTTCACTGCAGATACTGCAGGAGAAATATCCGCATGTTGGAGAGAATATCAAGGAGATTGAAGAGGGGGGAGGAATTGTGAAATATGGGGTTGATGCGACGAAGATGCGGGCGTGGACGAATGCGAAAGGAGGGAGGGGAGATGGGGTGATGGATCGGATTATTTTTAATTTTCCGCATGTGGGTGGGAAGAGTACGGATGTGAATCGTCAGGTTAGGTATAATCAAGGTTCGTTTTTCTTTTCTTTTGCCCTTCTTCGGTTCATTTATCAAGAGGAAAATGCGCTTTCGTTTCCGTAAGAAATATTAACGCATCCTCCAGAACTTCTCGCATCTTTCCTCGCGCGTGCAATCCCCTCTCTCTCTCCTACAAAAGGCTCTTCTATAATCATTACACTCTTCGAAGGCGAACCGTACACATTGTGGAATATACGCGATCTAGGTCGACATGCTGGATTGGAAGTGGAGCGGAGTTTTAAGTTTCAGGCGGGAGCGTATCCGGGGTATAAACATGCGCGGACGATGGGCGTTGTGAAGGGAGGAGGGGGGTGGAAGGGAGAGGAGAGGAGTAGCAGGAGTTTTGTGTTTGTGAGGAAGGGAGAAGGGGTGAAGCAGGGGGTTGGGAAGAAGAAGAAGGATGAGAGTAGTGATGATGAGAGTGAGGTGGAAGGCGAAGATGAGGATATGGATGAAGATTTTGAAGCGGATGATGGGGAGTTTGAGAAGGGGATCGAAAGAGATGACGACAGTGGATCGGATGATGAAGAAGATGAGGAGGATGGTATCAATGGTGTTAGCAGGGACGAAGATGAACCTCTAAACCAAGATTGGACCGAGACGAGATGAAACGGCACCAACAACCCAAGAGAAGAAGATTTCTAGGCAACACAAAAAGATTTCGAGAAGACGCTAATCCTCCACACGATCGGCGAAAACACTGTAATTCATTATGCGTAGTTGGCTATTTGCCATACTATGATATCATCTATTTGTACATTTACCTTGAAAATCCTCCGATATAACGCCATATCCGCCAATTTTTGAAGTCATCGACTTTTCTTCGCATTTACCAAAATCTAGAGTTCAATGACGTCCAGAGGGAATGATACTTGTTGTGCCATCACTGGACCATTCATAAGAATCTCTCCACCCGACTTCAGCAACCCTTCACCAAGAGTACCTTCAGGATGTAAAGCATACATTGGTGCTTCCATCGTATCTCCATCAAACAAAACCATATTTTGAATTGGTTGTTGTCGATGACCAAGCACATTAATAACATCTTGTGCAAGTTGACCACCAAGGACCGCTGTAACAGGAGCTATCTCGCTACCAAGATTTTGAAGAAAACTTCGTAGGACTTCCGAACGTAGTGTTTCAACAGGAAGACCTAGAGCTGTATGCTTTTTATGAGCCAAGACGGTAAATAGTTGAAGATCTTCTTTGGTTGACGGTAATCGACCATTTTGAAGTTGAACAAATTCCCATAATGCTCGTAGACATGTTAGAATTGGAGTAACTGCCTTTAAACGACGTCTGCTTTTGAGATATTCAGCAGGTAATGTTGCAGCATCACTAGCCAAAAACCAAGTCGAATAAAACTCTCTCTTTGTAACAACCTCCATAGATTTTCCATTTTCCTTCTTCGTCTTGACATCAATGACACTGCGAGTTCGTGTTTCCGGTTGCAGAAGTGTAGGTCTATTACTTCGTTCTCTCTCCACCACATAATCATGTTGAATCAAATCCGAGAAAATAAAGCCATAGAATCCATGAACCCCCGCTGCATAAAAAGGTTTATGATTTAACCTCGTAGCCGTATTAATGATATTCAAACTTTCCGGGTCTAAATCCGTCGCAATCACAATATCAAACCCCCCAAAGTATTGTGGTCCTTTGCTTCTGATGTCATCTTTATCCACAATCACATTTACTCTCGGATTCAATTTTCGCATCTGGGGAGCAGCGGCTTCGGCACGGTTTGTCCCAATATCAGCTTCGGAGATGAAAAATTGAGCACCTAGATCGGCGGGGGTAACGATTGCATGATCGCAGATGGTCAGGGAGTGGATTCCAGCCAAGACGAGATTTTTGGCTATTTCGTTGGAGAGGGCTCTCATGGTTATGAGGAGGATGTTGGCCGAACGGATTTTTTCTTGGGCTTTCACTCCCCAGAGTCGGATTTGTCGATCATACAGAGCAATTTCGTCTTCGAGAGATTGAATGTTAGTTTTTTTTACTCTTTGTTGTTTTATTGTTTGCTAGGAGGGGGAGAGAAGAGAGGACTTACCGGCGCTGATACCTGCTGAAGTCATAATGGGCACGACGTTAGGATTTGGTACTTCCATTGAAGGGAGATCCATTTGTGGATATTGTCGAATTGAATTGTGAGAATGGGTATCGATTGTTGGTTGTAAAATTGAAAAGGCGGGAGAAGCTGGAGAAGTAAATTCTTGAACTTGATTTCGTAGGTAAAGGTAGGTAGGTAGGTAGGTCGGAAGGAGGTAGGTAACCTTATGGTTTGATGATAAGTAACCTTAAAGCTTAATCTTTTGCTATCTTAGCGTGACTTTTGAGTTGTGAGGCTGAGATTGTGCCTTGTTTTTTGATTGATTCATGAAGAAGAGAAGATATACTTTTTGATATTGAAGTCTGCGATGACTTGTATTGGATTATTGTTCAAAACACAACCATAAATTGAATATAGGAATCTTTACAGATTTTGATTGATATTCACATTGCCATCCATCCATCCATCCATCCATCCATCCATACATCCATCCATACATCCATACATCCATCCATACATCCATACATCCATCCATACATCCATACATAGCTCAGCCAGCTTACCTACCTACTTATTACCCAGTTCTTTGTCCAATGATGTTCCTATCTAATCTTCTCTAGTCCTAGTTCTCTGTAATCCGAATCAACCCCACAAAGCTCCATAGGAATTTCTGCTATGATCACTCACCACTTACTACCACTTACCACTTACCACTTACCACTTACCACTTACCACTTACCACTTACCACTTACCACTTACCACTTACCACCATTCACCACCAATTCTTGACCTCACTTATACATATCTCACACCTCACATTGCGCATTTCACACCTCACTCATCACCCATCACTCCTTACTACACCTCACTCCTTACTCCTTACACCTCAGACCTCAAGGGTTCACCAAACCACGTCTTCTTACTACAACACCGTCACCCAATCGATCAAAATATTTCAATATCCACTCGCACACACCTACCCAGTACATACATATCCATCCATACACACATACATTCAACATCCACCATCCGATCCATAAACTTCTTATTAAAGAAACATCTTATATTTTATACAAATAATTTCTCTCCCCACTTCCTTTATCAATCCACTCAAGAACATTCATATTGATTCTCTCCGCATTCGCCTCGCTATTAGCTTACAAAGATTCAATTCAATCCAATCCCTATGTCAAGGCGTCTCTTTTCAATGGTACATTCATATTCTTAATATTCGACGTATGATCAATCCCACTAATTAATTTGATTAAAGTCGGGGAACTTTGATGATCCACCGAGTCATTCATCTACAGATTCTCCCACCGAAACCGCAGAAAGATTAGTTCAAGAAATTCTAGAGCGCGGTCCTAATTCGAATAATACGATAAGTCCATCGGGTGAACTTTACAGAGCAATAGGTCGATATACTGAAGCACGAAGAGCCGAAGCCGAAGACGTTAGAAATATGTCATCATCAGAACGTAGGGTCGAGAGGCAACATAGATTAGGAGGGAGACGTTCAACATTAAATCATGGATCGAGTCGAGAGGAATTTGATGAAAATGAAAGGGAAAGGGATATAAATTCACGAAGAGCCGAAGTTACAAGAAGACGAGATGCACCCAGACCTATTCCTCCACTACTTGGTCGTCGAAGACCTCGCCTCCTACAATCCGATCGATATATGGAACCACAACGTGCTTCCGTCGAAGGCAATCTCTTAAATTCTTTATCCGAAGATGTGAGACAATTAGAAGCCGCAAGTTTGAACCTTCGAACTTTATTAGCGACTCCTATCGGTTCTAGGTTACCGTCACCCGATCATGTCACCGAGGGAGAATTCGGTCGTCGAACCAAGAGAAGAAAGTTGGATCAAGATAATAAAGGAGAATCGTGGCAAGGTTTCAAATATGGAAAATATGGTCAAGTCGAACCTGGTACTTTACAAATGGAAATTGTTAGTTGTGATGGAGGACTCTTTCAAAGTTGTCCAGAAGGAGAATATGGTTCAGATAATGTTTTGAAAGATGATAATACCGTTTACTGTACTAAAAGTAATCGCTGTAATATTGTCTTGAAACATCAAGGGGAAACTACATTTTCTCTTTCAGAAATAGTTATCAAGGCACCTCATAAAGGATACACAGCCCCGTTAGTATTTTATTATCTGTTTTCAAGATGCGCAATACTAATCAAAATTTAGAGTTCAAGAAGGTATGGTATTTGTTTCCGGAACATCGAACGATCTCCTTACTCGTACTGCGCAATATCAAATTCAATATTCTTCCCCATCCCGAGAAAGGCCACCTGTTTCTATAATGTCTATTCGTCATAATGATGATGGTACTAGAAGTATGACAACTGCTCAAGCTCGTGCTGGGCGTCTTGTTCAATTGGGTGCTCAAGATCCTGAATGCGATTTAAATACTCCATATATTCCACCAACAGCCCAAATTCCATCCGATTTTACCAATATTACATCACCATATCAAGTCACTATGGAATGTAGTAGTGATTGTTCTGATAATGAAGATCAACCTCGAAGGAATCGTCGAGCAGCTTATAGAATGAGAGTATCAAGAGATATTCCAGATGATCTTCGACTCCCGGAAGAAAGTACTGATGATGAAGATGAATTCCCTCCACCAGGTTACAGACTTTCAGATGATGGCACTCATTACTATTACGATGCATCATATTCTGCAAGAGTCTCAAGAAATAGACCACAATTGGAAAGGAGGGAAACAGCTAGTAATATTACATTAGCAGAAGCGGCAGAAGCATCTCAAATCGCAACACAAGAAGCAGTCGCAGCTGTAGGAGGTGAACTTATGGTTCCTCATGCCAAATTCTTCATTGAGAGGGATAAGAGTAAGTGTACTATCAAATTTAGTACACCAATTAGTGGGAAATACATCCTCTTGAAATTGTGGAGTCCAGATGGGAGGAGTGATGGGAATATCGATATCCAGAGTGTGGTGGTGAAGGGATTCGCAGGACCGAGAATGTTTCCAAAAGTGGATTTGATGTAGGTGTTGGATTCAAGCTTTAGACTTGTGCTGGATGGAAAAGAGGTCATGATAACTGGGAAAGGAAATTAGGGTCTAGGATTGTGATCACGATTGGGATTTAGAAGCATGGTACTTGGAGCATATGCATGGATAGTTGGTAGGTACATGGTTCGGGGAATTAGGTCGGAGAGAGCAGGGAGGAAGGGGTTATAGGAATGTATATTTAATGAGAATATATGCTGGTACATATATATATTATATGTATTGAAAAATGCATGTGGTTTTGGAAATGCGAGTCCTACATATGAGGAATTGGAATTCTTATCTGATGGGCATGTGATGGAACTTGCGATGTTGTGAATGTGAATGTGAATTTGGATGTGTAAAGAGAGATAAATGCCGAGGAGGAAAGGGAGGATTGGATAGCTCGTTCTTATTCACGGGTAAGTCCTAGGTATCACGATTATAGTATTGGATCTTGAATGGTTGTGTTTGGGAGAGGGAGAGTGAAGGAGGATATGCTTCTGTTTGTGTTTTGGGACAGGCGGGGAGGCGGGGAGGCGCGTAGATGCGGGATGGAGAGTGGAGAGTAGAGAGTATGCATGGGGATTTTGGATGGGGATTATTATGGATCTTTGTATTGTTTATTGTGTTTGTTTGGGGGGATTAGAGTAGGGTAGGGTAGAGAGGATAGATTGATGTAGATGGAGGTGGAGGGGGTAATTAGCTCGAACTTTGACGGAGGAGGTTTATGTTGGAGATTTTTAAGTATAGTGATGAAGGTTGATGATGAGACTTCGACGACAATGATTTAAAAGGAGTTAATGATAGTAAGTGTCTTTTGCGACTGTGATGATAATCGGGTGAATGATCTTGGATCTTTTGTGTTGGGGAGGAAAAGGGGGATAGGAGTGAGGAGGAAATTATGAGGGCTATGAAATGGAAGTGGAAATGAATGTCTTGGGTAAGTGTATCATTCATGGATTGCTGTATGCCGAAATTATGGGATAATGAATTAGGGTTTGTGATGGCGAGGAGATGGGTGTTTTTGTGGATGGACCTTGGGGGAATGGTGATGTGATTGTGGGATGTGAGATGTGGGTTGATTGGGAATTGATTGATTGATTGGAGTGTGGGCTTGGAAACACTGGGTTCGGTAAAAGGAGGGATAGTGTAAAGATTTCTTAGGATTCACTGTTTCGTTGGTTAACGCTCTGGTTTCTTCTTTCTCACGCAGGCTTTTATTTGGGTTTGCGGTTTGTTTAGTTTTTGGATTGTAAACGCATATAAACCTTGGATACCTTGAGATGTTTTTCAGATATCAAATATGTGGACGTAGGCGATGAAGGACTTATGGGGGTGTGAGATTGACTAGCTGGTTCGTGTTTCTCTGTTTGGGGATATGTATAATTGGGGGTATCCTTAAGAAGAATATAGGGATGGTAAAAAACTATTTAAATCAGATGATAGAGAGTTGTGGTGATAGTAGTGGTATGTATATAGGATATTGACAACAAAGAGGTGTAGATGATAATCAGAAATAGGTTGCGAAATATGAGAGCTCACTGGTTTTTACGTCAAAAAGTGGAAAGGGAAGCAAGCGATGGTGGTTTGAGATTAGTTGAAATGGATATGGATTCGAAAAGGAGATTGCGGATTCATAGACTGGGTTGCCAAAATCTTCTAATCGTTTTTGTTGAGGGTTTGGGGGAATGAAGTGGACGTTTATATACTTGTAGAGTCGGAAAATGTAAAGAGCTAATTTGTGGGGGGAGAGCGGTAACGTTGGGGCAGTGAATGTCTGGGAATTGGTGAGGATTTCAAAGTGGATAGGGAAGGAGATGAAGATATCGGGCATGGAAATCGTATACTGGTGAATTTAAATGGATTATTCCAGATACCCCTCCTCGACAACGCTCGCTAATTTCACCCTCGCTAAACTTCATTTCTTGGTATTACAACTTCAGCTTCACCTGTTTCGATAACGGTAACGAACCGCAGAATCGCCAATTTCCATCTGGGCATGCGGCTCAAAGTTTTGGATAAAATTCTTGAAGCTATAGCTTAGACTGATCTGGGCTTTATTTTGGCTTTCGAGCAAAAAGAAGAGGGGGAGGGAGGGGAAATCAGGATTGGAGGATTAGAGGATGCGAGGTAGAGTGTCTGGTAGTCGAAGTAGTTAATGGCAATAAAAGAGGTTTGATCAATAGAAATAATAATAAATTCCAAAAAGGAAATTCATGGGCTGTTCTTCTGGATGAATGCAAGGCGAGATTAGATGTATATTGCGTCCATGAAAAAATTCAAGAGTGCAAGACGGGAGTTTATATAATTATCTATATCAAAAGATTGATTGTGGGCCTTAAGCAAAGATGCTAACGTAAAATGAATATGACACTTCGAGAATGGGGTGAATTAGATCTTATTCAGCTGCTATGAATGATTCAGTCACGTCGTGCGTTCTCTGTGCTAGAGTTTTCAACCTATCTGGTGTATATAAACGCTTAGATGTGGATGTAATTTCTATTATGTAGTGAGAACAAAATATTCTTGAACAGATTACAGGTTTCGAGACCGAAGTTGAGCTATGCTGATTTATACGGTAAAGTTGAATTTTTGATTGATTGGATGGGAGTGAGGATTGTACTCGGACTCTTGTTATCTCACTGTTTTTGCTGTCATTTATTTGGAACGACAGAATATAGGTGTGGATAAGAAATGACAGTAAAAGAAGCAAATAACGAGAAAACATTTGTAGATGTGAGTTCGAGAGCAGAAAGAAGTCAGCGGGAGTACTTTATTTTAAGAAGCTCCTAATGATAGCAAGGCTCATGAGATCAAAAAAATAATGGGAATTTAAAAGGGACCAGTATAATGTTCCTGTCGTAGCCATTGCGTGTTAAATTTCACAAAATCAACAATGAGATAGAGTATGAAGCCTCGGAGGAACTGAGAGGAAAATGCCCATATGCCATTCAGCCATGTATTCATTGCTGCTTGCATTGTTTGCTGAGAGGTAGAAAACGGGATTGTCGGCTATAGATTGATATATGAGAAGATTGAAGGCTCTGAAGCTACGGCGTCTAGATGGAGGGGAGTATGAGTCTAACGCTATAAAATACACTATCATCTAATCACTTTATTGACTTGTTGTCATTTAATCACAACGCTATATAAACTTCCAAACTTTTACTCAAACAATTCTTCTTCATGGTCACTACGCTATACACTTACTTGAAGCAGCCGGTGAAGGAACATGCAATATCGTGTTCGAGATTTATGCTTGCCGAAGAACTATTAGGATTTGATGCTGATAGGTTAGACGCTTCATTATTATTTTAAAACGCTCATGAAAAGCCGAATTCTCAATTCCATAAGTAATTCTTTCATTTACTTGTATTACCAGCGAAAGTCTTGAAAACTCATCCTTCTAATATTCAACTTAAGGAAATAGTGATAATAGGTTCTTAGAGACTTTATGCAATAAGCGACACTAAGCGACAATGACAGTAATCATGAGCTTGGAATCACTGACAACCAGATTCACTCAAAAATAAATTTATCATCAAGAACCATGATCGATGATAAACCATTCTAGTGCATAAATTTTGGGCGTAGAAATAATGATATCGACAATCTGTAAGCTAATGAATGCTGGCGTACGCATCTCTATATAATATATCTATCAACAATTTCTTCTTCCACTTCATCATCAAGTGCGTCTCCAGCCTTGACCGGCGTATAAAGGTGTCTCTCCTTGTTTGAGTTCCTCCAGGTCAAGTATGACCTCAAAAATAGCGCTAATATAGCACACAAACCCATCAATGCTGCGCTGGCCCCTAAGCCTCTTGGGTGTGCAGGTTCGTCCTCGGCTCTCCACCACGGCTTTACTCCGGCGGGAGAAAATATAACTGACAGTTGTGCCGCCCCCACAAGTACCGCGAGGAGAATTCCTCGCCCAAAAGCCGATTGTTCACTTCCTAATGCCCAGGAAAGAATCATCGTCATCGCGCCGTAGGATCCTACGCAAGCTGGAAAAATGGCAAAGAAAGACCACCAGATATTCCAGTCAAGAATGGCAACCAAGGACATGATGGCAAAGCCTGTTGCAGAAAGAAGGCCACAAGCAAAAACGAAGGAACCTCGAACTTGCTTTTTATCGGACTTCCTCGCTAGAATGAAGATTGTAATTATGGAAACAAGATATGGAATTATGGTAAGGAGATTGAAGATTAAGTGTGATGATGGAGCCAAGTCTGAAATCACGGTGAAGAAAAAGTAAGGCATGGAGACAAAAGATATTCGATGGTGTACAGCGAGATAACAAGGTGCTGGTGCAGTTGCCAAGTTGGTACAAATGAACATTATAGCGAAGATAATGTTTTTTGGGTCAAAAAGATCCTTGAATTTTGACTTCCAGCTGGTCGAGTCAAGAGAGTTCATGAATTTTGTAGGAAAGCTATCCTCGATGGAAATGGGAAATTTTAACCATAACATAGCGACGACGATGATACCGAGTATACCATCAATAGCGGAGATAGCTTGCCAACTCAGAATAGACGTATCTTTCATGAAACTGACCAAAGCTGAAAGAAGTGGTCCAGCCACCACAATCTCAGCAGGAGATACGGCAACAAAAATTGCAACAATAGTAGTTAATTTGCTCCTAGGAAATTGTGAAATTGACAGCAACAATGATCCAGGAAAGATCGCGCCACCTATCCCAAGCATTGAGCGTATAGTGAGTAGGACTTCCGTAGAGGAAGCCCCGATCTGTGCTAACACTAGCAATGTTTGAAGACTCACGACTATGAGAATCATCTTGTGAATATTGATATTTGATATCTGCCATAGTAGTAGCAACCAAGCGAATGCAAAAAGTACGAATTTGGTATCCGTGTATAATTCTTCGGAATCGATTTGCGCTAATTTGAAGTCGGTTGAGAGGCCAGCGGTGCGGGCTTGTCCAATAACTATTACTCGTTAGTTGTTGTTCATCAGGAGCAAGTGGGAATTCTATAGCTTACAGAAGTCATCGAGTTGCCACCATATGTAGGGAAGGAGAAGATAGATGGTAGAGCTTGGACGGGAGATGTACGTTGAGGAGCTCCCGCTCTTTTCCAGGTCTTCTGGGAGTATCATTATCAATTTTCTGAGAGTTCGAACATTTGCTGTGGATAATGTGAAGTGAAACGACTAAATGGATAGATAAAGGTTGCCGTTAGTATCTGATGAAGATCACAGGATATTGTCATTCAGAGGTGTCCTCACGATTAGACTAAGAATGGGATTTTGTTAAGTTATGGAAAAGATTAGAGGGAATCGATAATCCGCTGAATCACGAGTACATTAGCTGCGAGATCTGAAATCAATACAAGTCACAAAAATTTCGCAATTTTGACTCTCATGATAGCTCAAAATCCCTTCGTAAGACCTAATGCATATCGTGGCAGGAAAGGCGACCCGCAATTGTTCGTTAACGGCAAGTTGTAACGAATTCATGGGCCCACTTCTGACCCCCGCATTACAGCACATACAGTAGTACATTCTAAGCGTATATTTTGGAGGGGCAAATGTCTCTTATCAGTAAATCGACGTTCTTATCATCATAGTAAGTCTTCCACATCAAGCAATAGAATGGTATGTGGGCTCGTAGCTCCCTGGAGGACGATGAGAGAGGCAGAGGGTTTACCCTGCACTTCTACGAGAAAAGCGATTTGGATGTCTAATCGAGAATCTAACGACTGAACCTCACTATGACCAAACGTGTGAATTTACGATACTTGAAAGACTTAAAACTGCGCAAAATGGGTTAATTCTCTCAAGGAAAATTTCATATCAATGGCAACGCTGCGGAATGAAGTCGAAGGAGGGCATATTTTGAGCTTCAATTTATTCATTATGCTGCTGTGTTCTGTAGGTACAGATATATCTCCAGGGATTTCACTTGCTAAATACTGTTACAGCCCCTAGTCTCTTCTTCCACAGAAACGAAGGAATTAATTTTCGTATCCTGGATTGTCCATAAGGCTCCTGTATGCTATTAGTACAATGGATTTAAGTTCAAGAGAATATGAAACCTACTTAAGTGGTACACAAGGCATGAAGCCCAGAGTACTCTCCGTTATCGACATATCATTCGCAAGGAAAGTCTCATTATACGCATTCTTGATCGTTTTCGTAATCGTCATCGCACAATGATTAACATGATGAATACTTCCCACCAATCCTGGGACCATCGTTTTCTTCAGCGCAACCGCCAACGCCAACTTTTGTAGCACAAATGTGCAATGCTCATCATGCCAGTAACGAGTAAAAGCCCGACGGTCATCACCTGACTCTAGCCGGGAGATGTCGGCAGGAATCGTCAAGTTCGTGTCGACGAACCATTCCCGGTCGCGGAAGGGATGATAGTTGTCGTTACCTTCGGGAAACGAACATTCGGGAGGCGCCCAAAAGCGCCCCATGGGATAGTAGCTACATCCTTTAGATCGCGCTTCCTCGGGTGTCAATCCACAGTCTGTGTATGCGTAGTAGCCGGAATCGCCTTTGGACCATGGCCAACGCACAACGGTGATGAGCAAGGCGGCTAATGCGAAGCTGGCTATACAGCCGAGGAGGATGGAAGGGAGGGAAGAACTACGTCGCTTGATGGGTTGAAAGTCTGTGATGTCGCTAGTGCTTTGAGAGTCGATATCTTTATAGCGTGAATCACCGTCGAGATCCATGCTGGCTGGATGTTCAGTTAAGAGACAAGACTTGCGACGGGCTAAGAGCAGGAAAGTGTGCTGAAGAAGATGAGAGTTATAGAAGTCAAGAAGAAACAAAAGACTCGGAAGGAAAAAGAAGGTGGGAAGCTAGATGAAAATGGAGGCCAAAGACCGGAATTTCGAGAAGTCTGTAGTGCAGTTAAACGATAAGGAATTCTAGGTTCATGAATCCATTTGAAACATTAACCCGCTTCGGTACATCAAGCTGTACTAAATTTTTACCACTGCTTGCCATTAGTTTTTTTTGGACTGCATTTCGGATTTTAGAAACTTGCCAAGAAAATGTAAATAGAAAGAAGTGAAAGTAGATGCGAGAAATGTACCTTGGAACTCAAAACTATCGATAATAAGCAGTATATACAATAGTTGTCCAATCAAAGGAAACGTTATTTACCCGAAGCTGACGGAAGTATTCACGGAGAACAAGCTTACCTACCCACTTATGTATGCAAGCTGACTACAAGCGAAATTGGAGTATACTCTGGCAAGCCGACACGATACCTTGGCCGAGGCGAACGAGGCTCGTACCATTTTGAATTGCAGATGAAGAACTTCGAAATCATTGCGTTGTTTGCGCGATCAAATTCTGCAGACAGCTTAGCTTGTATCGGAGCTGTAATGAATGAAATTGTGAATGCAAATGCAACTTCGCTAGTAATACTGGGTAAATATCGATACCACTAATTTTCTCCAGCGAGAAGCGATATATAAGACTACTATCCAAAGAACTTTCCTGAAATATCATCATCAGCTCCGATACCTTCATCTCAGATATCCCTTTATCTACCTCAAACATACCAATTTAATCTTTTCAAGAAGTCAACTTAAATCGCAATTATGAAGTTCACCGTCGCAACTCTTTTCCTCGCAACCATCTTTGGCATGGTCGTTGCTGCTCCCGTCAAGAGAGGAGAAGCCACTGTTGCATCTACTGAGGGTGCTTTCGAGGAGCAGAAGACTATTGTTGTGAGCAAAACCCCTATCTTATTACTTGGTTTTTAGTCGAGCACTTTCTAATCACAGATGAGAGTAGATCGTTCGCGTCAAGGGTGAAGAAGTTGAAGAAGCCGCTTCGAAAAAGAGAGATGAGGCCGCTGTTGCCTCTACCGAAGGTGCTTTCGAGGAACAGAAGACCATCGTCGTAAGTTAGAGCCAGGGCTTCTTAGTAGAGCTCGAATATCATGATTCAGTTCTTGCTAACCAAACTCGTAGAAATAGATTGTTCGTGTAAAGGGCGAGGAAGTTGAGGAGGCTGCATCCAAAAAGAGAGACGAAGCTGTTATTGCCTCCACTGAGGGTGCCTTTGAAGAGTCAAAGACTATTGTTGTGAGTAGGATCCAATTCTTTCAATAGAATTTGGACATATATAGAGTGTTTACTAATCGAATTCTCCGAACAAATTGTCCGTGTTAAGGGTGAGGAAGTTGAAGAGTCTGCATCCTAGATTGTGTAGTTGATGTTTGGATCTGAGGGATGTGCGACATGAGTTATAATTTATGATCACGATGATGAGACGGAAGGTTATTACCGGGATTAGGATAGTTGAATGTCTAGAGCTTGAGTAGTAGTTGACAGGCTTTCCTATCGCGGTCTTACCGAACACTTTAGCGTAACTTCAGTAGTGTGCAAGAATCAATTGGCTTTAGCAATGGCAATACTAGAATATATGCATAAAACTATTCGTATCATCTTTAACCTACTTTAAAATTGTTATGCGATTTGTGATATCCAGTAGTTTCAACGATTGAGGTCTTGGTAAACATTCAGTGTTTTATTGTTCTGCTTTATCATTTACTTTTAAAGTCTACAAGTTTTAATCAAGAGGTACTGCTGATCACTGGGAAAAAATTCGAGTATTAATCTCCTACTTATGGAGAATGCATCGGTTCGAAAACTTCAGCGTTCATAACGTAATAAAAGCACTTGCCGCAAGAGATTCTCCAGCCACTAGTGGTATCAATACTTTGATACTATCGAAATATCCGACAGGAACATATATATCAATAGCGGAACAAATTTTGTTGAATTATTTGAGGCATTTCTTACGTTGAAATCTTTCGGGTATTGAAAATATTTAAGCTGGACTATCTATTTCATATACTCAAACGCCTTGCAAGATTCAATTCAGTTAAATTACTAACTAGTGTTCAAACATTTACAGTATTCTCAACGCTTTTGGCGTTGGGAATTGCAGACTATAGTCCGGGAGGGGACTATAGGAAGCCCTAGTCACTCTTTTTGCCTCCTTACAGCTCTACGGCAAGACTTCTCTCCGTATATAATCCACCAAGCTGTACATCAGGGCACACAAAATCATCCTTGGGACCCCTCAAAATAAATTGACGCACCCAAAATAAGTAAGTGTAACCTTTAAGCCAAGAGTTTTCAAATCCGCAATCTTCTCCTGCCCATCCTCCCTCACATAGTTCCTCGTAACCCTCGCACAATGTTGCGAATGTTCCTCATCTGCCGTCTTCGTATCCACCATCGGCAATCTCTTCTCCATCGCCATTGCTAGCTTTCTCCATGTGTAAAGACAATGTTCATCGTGGTACGCCCAGGTCGTATAAACATGGTCGTAGTGACCGGCCCTCACATTTATCATCTCGGTTGTGTTTAAGGGTTCTCGGAGGAAAGGATCGGAGTACCAGGGGAGATCGTCGAAGACGTCGTAGTCACCTTCGTCGTTGAAGTAGCAGGCTTCGGGCACCCAAGAGCTGAGCATGGGTTCGAAATGACAGCCATTTTTAATAGCTTCTGCTGGTGTTCTTCCGCAGAATGTATGGTCAGGTGGTTCAGGCCGAGATAAGTTGTTTTCTGAGACTCACCGCGTGTAAGAGAAGACTGAAAGAATGGATGCGAAAAGTAGTATCGTCATTATCCCGAAGATAAGTAAGCATTTGGTTGTTGTGAAAGCTCGACGAGGAGTGTTTATGTCGCCTTTGAGCTCAGCGAACTCCTCAGAGAGCAGAGGATCTTGGGATTCTCGAGATTCTTCATCCTGCTTAGCCATTTTTGCATTCAACAAAAACTGGACTGTAAATTGAGAACAAAGTCGTCGATCAGACAAAGATGATTTATTGGTTAAAGCTTACACTACAGCAAGCAAAGAACGAGTTCTATCTAAGATTAAACATAGAGTTCGTGGCCATAGCGATATTTTTCGTTGGTTATCCGGAAGTTCAAGCTAGACGAGATATGGTGGAGGGGTCGAAACCGTTACAAGTTGCTCTTTTGCGCAACAACTTGCCAGGCTTGGCTCGCCTGCCAAGGTAGGGTTCATATGCGGGGTCACAGGGGTAGCGATAAGAGATAGTCTGACTTGCATAGTCATGCGGGGTCGTAATAAGAAAGCCTAGATCTTTGGCAGTGCTGATAAGTGACATTATATATCGCACCGCCCAATGCCAAGAATGGATCCGGGCAATTTGAGATGATTCACACCTTACTCGTCAAATTATATTCAGTCTTCATATCAGATTTGCAGATATTGCTCCTCGAATCCACATCACCCGATAGGATTTCAATCTGTATAAGACATTTAACAGTTTGCGCCGTGTCTTATGTTGGCTAGCAAATTCACAATTAGTGCCTAGGCTCAAGTATCTCTGCTTACTTTCCAATCTTAACTACCCTATCAAAATCTACCAAGAATGATGATATACGATAGACGAGAGTGTAGATTCATATTTCCGCATTTGCTGGTCCAAGTGTTTTCTTAGCGGCCATGAGTAATGTTTGGTCTTTGCGGCAGTACTACAGTAGAGGAATTTACGTACCGTCTCTTATCAACCCTCTTCTTATAGAAGCTATAACTTTGCAAGCGGTATTGTGTGATCATTGGACTGAAACACTATATAGCAAGACTTGACGATACTAGTAATTCGTGTTATTTACCACTTGCTACAGTTATTTGACACAGATTCTAGCCCTATGAAACCAAGATATCCCAAGTCATAAATCTCCGAGAACGTGCAGACTCAACACTGGCATCAGTATATTTCATATCTAGACTTACTCGCCAGTACTCTTCAAGACGCTCCAAAGATTCACGAAATGTGGCGATCCACGATACATTTGGGGAAGCCAGCAAGCTTCTAAAGAAATCATACTGATCCGGCTCTGCTACAGATGCTGCCACACACAATGGCCAGCGCAATATATTTAGGAGATCGGGATCGTTGATGTAAGCGTAAGACTCAAGTGCTCGATGAACTTCATGTTGGATCTCTGGCAACTTTGGTAAGGGTCCAGATAATACCACTTCCAGAAAGATGGATACAGAGCATGCAAAAATGTGTATCACAACGAGTATATTGTAGCTTGGTTGCTCAGGCTTAGTGTTCGTACTTTGTTCAGTACTCTCAAGATTCTGCTTGAAGTTGTTAATCTCTTCCATATTCATGGAAATGCCCCTTTCCAATGTTTTCTTGATTGGGAAGGCTTTAGATACTAGTTCTCGTAAACTAAGTAGCCCTTTTACCTCTTTCTTCCCTTTCCATTCACGTAGGGAATATACGTCCAATAGTATGCTGAAAATCCAACTGCGGCACTGCAAAGCTGCTTGTAGAGGTGAACTATAAGAAGATGCGTGCAGAAATTGTTGATAACGTCTACTCAACGCTGGGACAGAATTTCTGGTGAGACTTGATAATAAGTCGAATCTGATGATGCAACCAACGAGAAAAACTTTAGCTGACTTGATAGTGCCCGATTCGGTGTTTGTCTCCTTGCCATACGAAGAGCCGAAAGCATAATATTGATCTTCGTTATCGATCCAAGAAGTTACAATTGAGATACCCGCTTGTAGGTGCAAGCAACAGTCACAAGTTACTGACTTGTACAAAAGCTATAAGGTTTATTTTAGTGTATGCATGCAAAAACTGAATGGGTTAACGTACGGCAGAATGCAAAAACATAACTATACAAGCTTATATCGAGACATCTTCGTATGATTTTGGATTTTGCAACTCAGTATGAAGTTCTTTGATCGCCACGTCATATTGAGGGGTGTGTTCATCGATGGTTGTATTTGTCTGGAGGTATTTGTGCGAGCTGCTCAAGGCCAATGTAGCATGGCATAGTGGCTGTGACTTAGAGACTAGCCACATAATATGTCCCTGATTGAAGGCTGAAGAATGTGATTGGCAAGACAGAAACTGCCAGTTGAATACTTTTTCAAAATAGTAAGCCAATATTGTAGCGTCTCCTAATTTATCGATGGCCAGCGCTGGTTTATTGAAGATGACGGGGTGATTTTTCTGAGAAGAAGAGTGTCCAGATCCAGACATCAATTCTGGGACCTTTGCAGGCTGAGGCCATGCAACTTTGTTGGTTTGTAATTGGATATTGGGTGGAGATAAAAGATCACACTCAAATGTATAACCATTAGAGTGAAGAAGTTCGATCTCGTGTGATAAGGCTTGTGACTCGGGGAAAAACAAGTCGGAAGGAAGAAAATCCGACAAGGTATCATTTAATGGAGCAAACTCATGATCAGAGCCGTCTGAGTGGGAAGAGGCTGCAGAGTAAGGAAAGACAGCCTCGAGCCCCCAGGAGTGTCTTTGTGTGGTTGTAGGTGTTGTAACGAATGTTGAGCTGAGGCTGGAGTGCCGAGAATGAGAGTTTGTCCTTGAATTCTTCAATGCAAGGGAATTTTCGCTTAAACTTTCCCTCCTGCGTCTTCGTCTCCTCACTCCGCTACCATCTGTTTGATCTTTATCGCTTCTGCCTTCTGTTTCGAGCCTCGATCCATCCAAATTGGCTGCTCTTCATATCCGTGGCACTCCAGCTCCAGAGATCCACAAGCTGAACAGATTGGAACCTTCTCGTCACATTTCCTCTTCCTTACACGACATGTCCAGCATCCCTTTAGGCTTCGATACTTGTTTCCCATTTTGTTAGAACAACGAAAGCAAATTATTCAAATTGAAAGAATGGGTAAGAATAGGCGCAAAGAAACCAACAGTTTTATAAAAAGTTGAGACTTAATCAGTGTAACGGTTCTATGCTACATCTACCTCTAGCTAGTAGCTACTGTAACAACGCGACTTAGAATTACTCTCCGTAACACTGAAATACAGGCGATTCTATCGTGATAAGCTCCGCAGGCAATTTACTCAGCAATAGTGCATAGGCTATGCTATGCCTTCCTTTTTTGGTAAAGATGATGACCACCAAGAAGTAAGTTCCATCATGATAAGCTCCGTAACCTTGGATTATGCAATACCAAACTGCCTTCCTTTTCTGGTGAAAATGTGCAATCGCCATCGTATGACCTAGATGGCGAATTCGTGTTATATAGCTCTGAGTGCACGGTCGACTGACGATAAGGTTAAGGTTACAGATCCTCCGGCATATAAAACGCCAAATCATCAACGAAGAATCTATATCCATCCCACCTATAGAAAGATCTACTCTGTAGGCACATTCAGTGGAACCCTCCTATCTTCCTGCAGGTGAAAATTGGCCGAGGTACTTAAGCTTAACTTATGGAGCACAGGGGTATGCGTAACCATACCCTTTGGGGTAGAGCTTACTGTATCCCATTCTTCGGGCGTCAGGTCTCCACCACAACACATAAGCTGCATGATCGTTTCGGGTTGCCGTCTCGACACGGCTTTCCGTTGTTGATAAATCTTTCATTCTTCGATATGAGTCGTAACTTTACCAATTGTGTTACAACGTGGAATAAACATGCTTGATTCTTATATATTCCGAACCATGGTGAGAGGAGGTCCATTGCTGTCGAAAGAGTAATCCAAGTACTACAGCTATCTTTACAGCCATTTCACCTTCGCACCTGTTCCAGCCTCGTTCCAAGAGCCAAATCTTGTCAAATCTTGTCTCTCACTTGAATAATCGGGTGTGATCATTGTCGTTCATCATGTGCTCAATATTCCGTGATCAGATAATGGAGAAATCCCTCTTTGCCCCAAAGCTTCATGGGCCCGAATATAAGAGGGTACTCACCACAGATCCTTCTAGCGAAGATGGAACTGAGATGAGCGAGCCTCCCTCTTGGTTTCGAGAATTCAATGGTGATATCCGGTCTCGAATCTCGAGGAGATTTTTGATTTCAGTTACATTGTTATCCATAGTGCTGTTATTCGTGTCTTCCATAACGATAACTGGACTAGTCATCTCCTCTCGAAAACCTCATAAATTACCGGTCGCTCCTGAAGGGACAGCTTGTGGAGGCAACCCGACTGCTGCAAGATTGAATGGGTGTGTTTTCGACCCCATGATGAGCGCGTGGATACCTCGAGATTGTGTTTTTGATGAGTTGGTGGAACACGCCGGCGACATCTTTACAACGTGGGATTGGTATTCCGATGTCGACCTCACACAGCCAATTAACGGAAAGGACGAGTTGGATTTCTTGCGAGCTGGAAATTATACTAGGATGTGGACTTCACATCAGAACGCTCACGAGCTTCACTGCGTGTATATATGGAGGAAGATGGGTATGGCATTAAGAAATGATCCTCCATTGGTGGATGCGAGCAATGCTTATCGCCACGTAACTCATTGTTCCGCCAGCCTGGAGTTGATATTGCAAGCAAAGACTGTCTCTCAGGAACCAGAGGCTTTTGAATGGCCTATGATGTATCATACATGTTCCTTACTCAAATACGACGTTTGATGAATTGGTAGCATGTTGCTGTAGAAAGATCCTACGTAAGCGCGTTAGTGTGCTGAATATGACCAATATTTTTCCACCAATTATTTTCGGGGTCGCGAAGATATACCACTTCAACATCACGTGATTCACAAAGTGAGAGATTGTACCCACCAAGATTAACTATTTCGAGATTGCTCGTCTGTATAAATTGGCTAGCTTCAGCAAGTTATACTTCATTATGGACGACTAGCTCTTAAGAAGCTAGCAAACCTATGTTAATTACAGGATCATAGAAAATGTACAATATCTTTTTCAGGCTTCCTCCTGTCCATCTCCTCTCCTTCTACAACGTCTCTCGCCAGATGTCTTACTCTCGTGGCGATTCTTGTGGTATTGATGAACCCAATGGTTTTCTCGATGCTTGTTCTCGTGCATGGTGGATATATGAGAGTGAATTTAGTGAAGTAGGCATATGAAAAGGGCAATTGATACTAGCATGATTTAGGAAACTCCCGCTTATCTTCACCACCAAAGAAAGTCGATCGATGTCAAATGTAAGCTTGGAAATGTGGTGTTCGATATTCTCCCCTCGATGTCTTAATCTCAGCCCGAGACTTTCAGCCCAGCTAATCAAATTAGAGTCTCTACGCTTCACCAGCCAATATCTCTGCTTCGCTATTCAGGGATAGCTCCAAGTCGGCTTGTTCATCGCATACTTCTCTTCTTCGGCAATACATAATTCAACTTAATCTTTGATATATAGCTCTAATCCGGCTTGTTTCATTTCCTGTTCAGCCCTCAGTCTAGCTTCTTCGTCTGTGAGATACTCTTCATGCCATATCGGGATCTGATCATCATAGAAAATCCATCCCTCTGGTTCTCGCACATGCCTCTTGATGGTACGTGAATTATATTCTATCTTGTACCCACTCGGACCGTGTGTTTGAAGAGGAATCGGTCGTTCATTCTCGGGAAACTTTAAGAGTTGAGCATGAGTCAAATCGTCCAGCTTCTGTTTTACCCATGCCCAGAACGAGAAATGGTCGTAAAACTTCGTCGTCGTTGTATATTCGTAACGGAGGACGCAGCTGCGAACAATATGCATATCCACGAAATACTGCTTGTTGGGTGGGCCAAGCTGTGCGACTTTGAAGTAAGAATTTTGTAAAACATACGAAGGTTGGCCACTATTTACATCGTTTGTATCAAGCATGATGGTCCATGTATACGAATCGTCAATTTTTCTGCGGCTGGCCAAATTTAGGGAGTGTAGATTCTTGGAATCGCTAATGGCTGCCGCTTTTTTCCACTCCCATCCTCTTCGTCTGTATTTCGCTTCAAGATCTTTGTGGGCCGCGTTGGCTTGGAGATAGCCAATGACTCCTCCATTCATTTCGTAAGCTGTTCTTTTGATGAAATTCATATCGGGGAAAAGTGAATACGCGAAATTCCATGAGATGACGTTCATGAAAAGTGATGTATGAGAGCCCTGGATGATTGCTTGGAACGGAATGTTGGTTGTATAGATTATTTGGATCTGAATTGGCTCCTCCATGGAGCTCGTCCTAAGGTATGATTCAACCTGATACCATGTAAGCATATATAGTGAATGATTTCGGATATGAAATACCTGTGAAATACACTTCAATTGGCCCACATGGTTTATCAAGCCACTGTTTGCTTCCGTTTTCGACCATTGTAATCTGTAGGCTTCTTGATTGACCAGGTATTTGCCTATCTGTTCAGGATTCCTGAAGTTGTTCGCATTTTGCACATAAATTTCCAGGTCAGAGTCACGCCAGGATCTTCTCTCGAAGAACTGTAAAGCGAAGCTTCCAGACATGAGGGCATCGTACTCAGCCAACTTTGACCGAAAGCCGACAGGATCCTTAACAAAGCGGGCGAGTTGGCGATTGATATTCCACTGGGTCTTGAAGAGCGAGTCAAACGACGATGAAAGTTGCTTGGTAGTTAATCGGAAAAACAAGATATCATTGGGATCGAGATAGGCACAAATGTTCTCGAAGATGGGGTAGCATAGGAAGATATCTTTCCAATCCAAATGTCGATTCGATCGGGACATTTTGTACGAAGTACGATACCACGAGGCTTCTCAGGTTTAGTACATCTATTGGGATATCTCAATTGAAAGTGGTGATTTCTGAGAGTTTTTATAGAGGAGTATCTCTGGCTTGATGACAGGAGGCTATCCTTATCAGCCAATAAATATGCAAGACACATTATAGGCTGAAACCAACAATTGGGCCCCGGAAAAAGAGATACGCGTGATAGATCGATGAAAACCACAGGAACCGAAACCGTGGAAATTCAGTATGTACCAGAGATGATAGCGCAAAGAACATGCCCTAGGAGTATTAATGTCTCGTTCCGGGATCTAGTCTTTTCATACATTAAACAATATCGTCTAATAAGAAATTAAAAAAAGATCGTCGAAATATCGAATACTAGGTAAGAGTTGAGGCCCCGGCTTATCGCACACCATCCATTTTTCGGTCTAATTTTTTAAAATTTAATAATAAATCAATTATATAATATAATCTTATAAAATGTAAGTATTATATTAATAAATAATGATTAATTCTTATATTTCAATTATATTTTGAATCTTACAAATCAATCCCTTAGTATATAGTTTAAAATCTAAGAAACCCATTCTATTTTAGAGAATTTGGAATTTATATCTCAATTTCTTTATAAAAATAGATATAAATAGTAGCTTTTTTAATTCCTCTTCTATATATTATTATACTTTTTTAATTAAATTAAGATCCAAAAAAAAGAATAGTCAATCAAAGCCTTATATATCATACTTCAATTGAGTTCTATAGATATACCTAGAATATACTTTAGAATCGTTTTCTATAAATATATATTCAGATCCTAGCTCATCGAATAATAGAAATATAATAGGTTTAAGGATTTATTATATATATACTTTAGAGATAATACTTTTATTATCCTTAAGTTTTTCCAAAAAGATTAATGAAGATTTATAATTCTAGTTAATTGTACCCTATATTATTATTAATATCCTTTTTAATTAATATATTAATTTAATATAATTAATATATTTTTTATTATTAATTCATTTAGTAATTCATATTCTATCCACTTTTCCTAATTCGAAAATGCTTTTGTTTAATTATATAACTAGCTTTTAATCCCCCCCTTTTAATCTAACGACAGTGATATTACTAATTCCCTATCAATAATACCTATATACAAAATCTAATCTCTTTTTTGCTTATATTCTTAAGATAAAAGATCTATGATATACTATATACTTTCTATATTTATATCAATATAATTCCTTTCGAATTATATATATCAAAGTTTTAATATTAAATATGTTTTTAATTTATTCAAAAGCTATTCTTTTTTTATTTCAATCTTTAGTAATTATTCTTATAATTCGATAAATCTTTTTAATAATTATTATAAGCTTTTAATAAACTTTCTTTTCTCGAAATTTTTTAATTGAATTAAACTTAATTATATTTCTTATAATAAATTATAATATATCTAAATTTGAAATAATTTATTCTCAGGATTTTCTATTAATTCTAATTTGAATAACTCTAGAAGATGAAGGAATATATCAATTTTAATGAAATTTATGATTATCATTTTTGTGATTATATTTAATATCCCTTTTGAATTTGAGTCAAAAATAATGAATTTTAGAATAATAATTGAATTTTTAAAATAAGATATGCGAAATTAGATGGCTACCCTAATCTTGCTTAAATGTGCAATAAGCCGGGGCCTCAACTCTTACATATAATATTGAATTTCAAAAATCAGTAATGTTAAATAATTGTTTTCTAAAATAAATTAATAATCAGATCTCGGTTATAACAAGATGTAATCAGGATGTCACGCGATGTCAAATCACTCAAGCGTCCACCAGATACCCTCATCCCCCGGGAAGATTGGGAACTACAGTTTAAAAGAAGTGGGAAGTACATTTCAACTTGATTCCTCAATCGATGAAGAAATTACACTGCCTAGGTGAAATTTATCATCCTGATCAGGAAATGCTTAGTCGTGTATATACCAGACTTGATTGAAGCAGGGAAAGTAATTTGTTTGTCGTAGGTTAAGAGTTGTTGTCTAATATGAATTTTTACTGTTGCTTGAATTTTGTATCAATCGCTTTGAGCGGGGCAGGTATGATATTTCGAGATGAAATCTTGAAGAATGATCCTCCACTCCAGTCGGAAGACATCAAAGCTTCCCGGTATCATCTGATGAAAGGAAGCGAGTCTAGAATCCTTCGAGAAGCTACTTACAACGCACTCATGAGATTCCCTATAACAGAAGCATGCCAGCATACTCTGTTTGACCTTACACTACGATATATAGCCCAGTATACTATACCATAAACAAAATTCCAAATCCTCTGTCGCATGACTTACAAAGTGTCAGGAAAAGAAGGTGAGTCGAATCAGATTTATGTGAATCACTTCCTTTAGATACAAGATAAGTTTCGCTGAACACATGTATAAAAATTGCAGTCTTGGCATCTTCAAAGAAGAATTTTCAATCCACACTAATGAAACCACACATCGGCCGTAGTTTTGCGCCAGGGCACATGAGTCGTCCTTTGAGCGACGATTTCGTTGCAAAATCGGGGTCTCAAATTCCAGGAATCTGGGGAATTCGAAAATTGAATAGGTCCAACGTTTTCTACAACTAATGCCGGCGATGATGACTGACAAACTGTGTCACTTGCCATGATTTCGCTGTCGAAATTAGTATCTATTTTTCATCGTATGGTATCCCATTCGCTGCACAAGGGACCAAACTTTTATTGTTAGTCCCAGAATTGAGAGGAGTTTGATGTCTGAGAGAACTTGAGAAGGGGGGTCATCATTTGAGGCAAGAGTAGACCCGCAGAGAGCTATGGAAGTCTACTGAAATTTCCTTTCTTCAACGCTATTTTCTGCTATATTTTATCCAGGGAGAAAGATTAAGGCTAGCAAGTCTCACTTGAATTCACAACGTAGTACGAAACGACGTCATAAAGTTTTTCATTCTCATGTGTGTGACTTCCCGTGTTGCAAATTTGGCAAGCTGCCAACATACCAACCAATCAATTTATTCGCATCACTCCCCTTCAGCTCAAATCCTGCACCAAAGTCCCCTAGAAAATCCAAACGCCAAAAGACGGGTAAGATGGCTGTTTCGATATGAAAGCACATCAGATTCAATAGATCATCCTATCTCCATGAACTGTGTACATAAATCGCAAGTCTTCTAACTTTTAATTTCTGAACATGACATGCTCGGAATAAAGACTGGTTGGTAAGACGGCGGAAAGGTTGAGATTGTGTATGAGTCGTCGACGACATTCGTTCTGTAGATAGAGATTTTCATTTTCATTCCTGATACTGCAAATATTCTATATCTGCACGCCGAGTGGCGGGAACGACTGTTAGAGTCTTTACTGCTATGAATCTGATTGTAATACTGCTGCTGCTACTAGATAGTCTATTTTGCCATGTTTCTGTGAAGGTAGTATTCTTTAGACGAGAGTATTCGCCAAGTGTCAAGTGTCAGTAATCATCCATTTACTCAAGAAAATCTACACGGAGTATTGCAGTGTTATGTTCACGGGATTCGATATAATCACTAAATCACTTTACAGGGACAGAAGTCTAAAGGACGAAAGAGTATAACTTCCAATCCATATTAAATAGGTATCCCAAGGTTGACAAGGGAGGAATTCAGGTTTCTGCTAAGTACAAGCGGAAGTGAATACGAAAGCATACTCCATCCCATCTGAACACAAGTCCGGGCCTAAACACAAACAAGAGAAAGAAAATAAATTATCTCAATGCTTTGAAACGAAATGCGACGCACCCAAACATTTTCAACCTTCAGCCTCTCATCAACATCAATTCATTTTCATCTCACACACTATAGGTTCAAATCTATAACCACGATATAGCCACCGAATATCCCCACTACAGCTTCAACGCAGTACCAATGCGCAAGTCCAATCAAAACCCAAATATCCAACAAGATGTAAGCTCCCCTCCATCTCCCCTCAGCTCAATCAATCATCCACCCACTCCAACGCCTCAAACCCTCACATACCATCCCCAGAACTCAAAGAAGTGATTCCAACAACAAACCACATCTTATATCTCACTAAACCATGCCGTGCGCGGTAACATCACATTGAACGCATGAACATACGGGATCTTCATCGACTCATCTTCCTTTTCTTTCAAATGTTAAAGCCCAGCTCGTCGTTTACTGGTCCCCTCGCTGAAGGCTTACAGTCTCACCCCATGATCTTCCAATCATCTTGAAGAAGAAGCTTGTTCAAGGGTATTATGAGATGTAATGTTCATTACACATCATTTCTACCAGGCCATTCACTCGAGTCTCTGTTCGCTGATTCCGTCAATAAGTACTTTTTTATGTATGTATCAGCAGGAAAAGGTATTCCCATTACTTCTGGAGACTCTCCATCAAAGTTCATACTTGAAGATAGCTTTATACTTTACAGAGTCAGCAACTAAGTACCTTTTGTGACGTCAAGTACCGTACATCCACTCATCCATCCGTTATCGACCCCCAAGGCCAAGCGCAAGCCCAACCTCAGCCCGAGCCGCACCGCACCACACACCAAACCTATCTCACCATTCACAAGCTACTCCCCATTCCCTTACCTTTACACCAACCAGTCTCGTCCCAATCAACTTACCTCCCCGACATTCCATCTCTCCATCCCCATCCCATTCGACCCACCCCCCTACAAAATCCACTCCACAAACTCCACACCAATAAACTCCCCGGCCCTAACCATTTTCTCCACTAAAAATCTCGCCCTATAGTTCCTGCAAGCCATTTCTTCTCGTCTCCAAAGATTCAGATATCGACTTGCAACAAAAGGCAGCCCTCGAACCATTATCGCCAATCCCGCCTGAAAAGCTGTCAATATCAGCTTGCCAAGCATCATGAAAACCCGAATAAATATGTGCCACGTGAATAATTCTATCTATTAATACACACTAGGTTACCCCTCCATATCATGGGGACTTCGTAATATTCCTACGATATATTGATCTCCATATTAACTTTCCTCTCTACCATTGGATAAAGCATACAAATATCGAGTTTAAATAGTATAGGCAATACGCCATCCCATCCCGCGCTTCCGGGTTGTGATTAGGCAAAAAGAGTGCACGCGCTTGCGAGACATCAATGCAATATAAATGCGTTGGCGATGGCTACACATGACAACAAGCGAGGTCATTAATATGAGTGAACATCGTATTCGCTTCAAGGATGAAAATTTGATATGATACCCTATCCAAAGCAAAGTGCGTAATTTATCCTTCCACCACTTCTTTCTCGATTTCCCAATTCTCCCACGTCGGATTATCGTAACCGTTTGGACGACTAGCTCGTTCGAATCCGACTCGTAATCCTTCAATTGAAACGGGACTTCTGCACCATTTGATTTCCTCACCGAATCCTTTGCTGAATGTCTTTTGCATATTTTTCTCATCGAACAATTCTGGATGTGCTCTCCTCATACTCTTCAATGCTCTCCCACCAACCTCATCCACACTATCCGCATGTCTCAAATCAAAGAAATAATCATCATGATCTTTTCTAACCTTTTCTTTAACATCATCCCCATACAATCCCAATCCCAGTAAAAACACATCATATTGACAAAGACTAGTCGTTCCTCTCCAACTACCTCCTTCCTTAGCTCTTAGAAATAATCCTACCAAAGCAGCTATAGCACCCATACATCCAGTTCCATAATCAGACATGGGGAAAGGTGGAACGACAGGTTCATTGAGACCCATAAATTCTCCTTGAGCCCAGGCTACTCCCGTTACACAATCTGCGATTTGTTGCCATCCAGGTCTACCAGCCCACTCTCCTTGATAACCAAAACAATCTTCGGAGACATATACAATTCCTTTACCTCTTCCAGAGATCAATTTCACGATATTCTCTGGACCGTAACCTAATCGTTCCAAAGCTCCGGGTCTATATCCGTCGAGAATAACATCGGCGGATTTAAGTAGTTCCTCAAATGTGGCACGACCAGCTGGCGTTTTAAGATCGATATCCGCGGTATGTTTACCGGTATTTCCATCGACTTGGAAGAACGGAACGTCAGATAAATTTGGAGACGTGACTTTGATGACTTGAGCGCCATATTCAGCGAGTGTTCGACCCATGGCAGGTCCAGCAATAATACGACACAATTCTAAAACACGAATTCCGGATAATACTTGTGGTTTCGAAGTAGGTGTTGCGGGAACTATTTCCGGGAATGGACACGATGGGGAATCGTCTTGAAGACTATCGAGTTGCCATGGAGGTAAGTTGAGAAGTGTTTGGCCCTGAATGATTAATTAGTAAAAAACAATAGTGTGAGATGAAGATTCTTACATGGCTTGTCTTCTTAAAATCTTCCCATTTCAATGCCGTTACACCAGCTTGATTTACTTCAGCATTCATGATCTCCAATTCCGCAGCCGTATATTGTTTGACATGCTTTTCAATAACATCAATACATTCCCTATAATCTGTAAGATCTGGTCGATATGCTTCCAACCCAATCATATTCAATGTTTTTCCAGCTTCTAATGATCCATGGATATGAAAGTATTCCCCTGGATTCTTAGTTTCATAAAGATTTGCTGAAAGTCTGCGATACAAGATAGCTTGTGCTTTTAGCAAGTCCGTATCTGTAAAATGTATCAATAAATATTCCGGAAATATTTTCAAGAAGAATACCTTTCAGTTTGGACTTAACACCAGGATGCTGTTTATTCATTCCAGCAATTGTAGCAATATAAGTTGAGAATAAGAAAGTAGCAGTATGCTCAAGATTGATTTCGATTTTTCTTTTCTGTTCTCCATAACGAAGATCCGCAATGGCAGCTACAACGCTTGCTTCGACTGATTTTAATGCAACTGTAGCTTCAGTTTCTTTGAAAGGACATGGGAAATAGATTTGAGTTCCATCGGTTGCGGTTGTATAAGTAACGTCTTCTAGATGTTTCAATACCTCCGAGGGAAGTTCACTACTGACCAACTGTTGTAGAGTTCGAGTAGCCTCTTGACAACCATTAATTACTGAATATCGTGTTGAACCAGAATGATCAGCTGATATGTTTTTGGTAGAATCCTCCATGGTGATATAAATCCTTTTTTGAAGACTTTATGATGTACGAGATTCAAAAATCGAAATTCGGAATGAGTTATATATACTTTGTCTAGGGATAGAGGGGCAATTCAGTTCCGTAGTATGCCCCGCTCTTCTTCCGTGTACCTGAGTAAACATTACCAATGGTATTACCTATAGTTCTCCGTGGTTTTGAAATATTTGGTATATTCGAATCATAGTTTTGTATCAATGGATATTAAGACAGGTTGCGGTCCGAGGTGTTTCCCTAACAAAGTTCCGACGATGAAGGGGTAACATCCGATATGCCTGCGGATATGAACCCCATGGACAATATTCAACGAGGCAGTTTACCTCAGGTATAAGATTAACAATATCTTATATTAGGAATGCAATAAGCAATTTAGAGACGAATTCCCAGAGATACTTGGGACAAACAACATGATCATCGATCGGCCTAGAGTATCGGGGGGTTAAGAATCTTGTTTCACTCTCCCGAGGTTACTTTTCCGCACCAGCCCGATAAGCCACAGTCACCAGCCACATTTAAATGTCAGCCACCAGGAGTTTCCGTCCCGAATGGGACTCGCAGCCAAGCTTGAAAGCTGGAGCCCAGAGATAGTCTTTACTTCCATCAATCGATTTCTCAACTTACACCCAGCTATCCAATAATGAAGTTATCAAACCGTCAATGCTAAACACAGTCATTTCCGGATTCAAGAGTCACATTCAGTATCATATTTGTTCAAGGTTCACACAATGTCCGGCATTGAATGATACACGGGGTAAGAATGATAAAAATAGTGATACATATCTATATAGAATGTAAAGTATTCAACTCTTATGAGATGAATGTTAGAAAAGACTACCTAACTCGAGTACAACTGTCTCACTGAAAAGAGGGAAAGAAAAGGACCTCCCTCAAATATCCTCTCATTTTCGCGTCCATCAAGCAACAAAAATAAACCCTAACCACCATCCAAGCTATTCTCTTCACAACCACATCCCCTCTTAATCTAATACCCCACCCCATAGCTCCCACATCTTCCCTCACCTCCTACCTCCTCATTGACAATATAACAATCAGCCTTTTGCTGTACACATTTGACCAATGCACTTGCATACGTATCACCCCCTCCACCACCTCCATATCCACAACCCTGAGCATAAGTACCCACACAATTCTCATACTGCGCGTCACAAGCATCTTGGCATCCTTGCCCACAATCCGGTCTCTGGTAGCTTGGACTATCTTCGGAATTTCTGGCTGTATAGAGTTTGAATGGATATCCTGAGTTATATTCTGGTTGTAGATTATTGCATGTATAGCATGGAACTGGAATTGATCCAACAGGAGAATAGGAACTGTATCCTTGAGAAGGATTATTAGGTTGAATGCAGATGTTGTTGCACGTAGGAAGAGGAGCAATTGAAGTGGTAGATGTTGGTTTCGATGTTGAGGTTTGGATAGTGGTGGCACATGTATAGATACTTGTTTTTACACTGATGACTGGGGGTGTATAGCCTGCTGGAGGATGTCTGGATTTACATCCATTGTTTGAACAAGAAGATCCAGGACAATAGCTCCCACAATAAGATTCAATTTCCTGACACCAAGAGGAAAATTGTAGACATTGAAGGGATCCAGGGAATCCAGCGGACAAAAGACAGGATGTCAATTGTACGAGACAAGTATTTGCAGCAGCCAAACAAGAATTTTGATCGGTGAAGGGAGGGAGAGGATTAGAACACCAGTTTCCAACTTTATATTCGCAGGTTGGGGTTGGGGTTGTTACAATAGTGGTGGTGCATATTGTAGCGCTAGTTTTTGGTGTAGTCGGAGAGGCAGTAGTGGATGGCTGTGTGGATGATATCGATGTCGAGGGTAAATTTGGAGTTGTCGAGGATGTTGGAGCAGTTGCGGATACCGAAGATGAAAAATATGTAGTGGTCGAAGATTGAGGATTGGTAGAAGGCGAAGAAAGAGAAGAAATCGTGGAGGAAATTGTAGAGGAAGATAATGTTGCAGAAATTGGTCCTGCTGTCGAGGAAGGTGATGATGATGATGGAGGAGTAGATGGAACTAATGACTACAAAATACCATACTCAGTACACGCATTTCAAACAAATCCTCCCATCATAGATAAGTAGTCAAAGCAGTATTAGATGTTAGGAAGAAAGCAGGACAGTAGCATGAGACCGCTAGTCTATTTGAAAGAGGCACCGGATGGAAATGAGTGCAAGTTTTATATTTGAACTCAACTTACAGATGATAATGGAAGGGTTGATGAAAGAGGTGCGATTGAGGAAGAAGATGCAGGAGCTGAATACGTTGTTGTTGACAATGAGGAATATGACGGAGAAACAGACGTGGAAGAAGAGGATGGAGCAGCGGATAAAACAGACGACTAAACGTTTCACAGTCAGTATCATTCTATTGAAATAAAATTCCAAGAATGAATAATGAGTCAGAGCTATGGGGTACAAAGAGACTGTGTGGGATTAAATATGAAAAGCAGTGAGGGCTATCTGAGAATGGGGAATTTGAAGCATCAGACTAATTAATCTTACCGATGATGAGGCCGGCGATGAGGAAGAAGCCGACGACGAAGGGGCAGATGATATTGGCGACAAAGAGGAAGAAGCTAAAGCGGATGAATACGACGATGAAGCGGAACTTGAGCGAATTGAAGAAGAAGGCGGGGAAGTATATGTCGACGTGGACGATGGAGCGGTTGATGAAATCGATGACTGCAAATTTCAGGAGTTAGTGTCTTTTTATCAGAAATTTCATGAAAAATATGAACAGGAATGAATCAGGGGTGAAAAAGGTCATGTGATACGATATCTCAGAGAGACCTTATCATACGGATCAGACTTACCGATGAGGATGTTGGTGCAGATGAAGCCGATGAGGAAGAAGATGAGGCTATAATAACAGACGAATAGATAGTTGAAGATACCGGAGTGGAAGAATAAGGAGACGGTGTGTAAAGTGGAGGAGTATATGGTGGCGGAGAATAATATTGTGTGGAAGCTGGTGCAGATGAACTAGTATCACTCGACAAAGAAGAAGAACAACTTGAGATAGATGAACTCAAAGTTGAAGTAATTGTTGTTCCAGTAGACGAGGATACTGGAGCAGAAGCAGAAGCCGAAGTAGTTGATGGAGCAGGTGAGCTAGTCGAAGATGATACTGGGCCACCTGGATTACCATTGCAAGGATCTGTTGATAGCAAGTCTTCGGCGACGTAAAGGTATAAATTTGCAGCACCACCGCATAATTCGGTGGTATCACCATTACAAGTCATTTGACAATTTGACTCATCAACTTTTGCGGTTCCGTTACCCAGTACAACACCACAATAACATTCTTGTGAGTATTCCACTCCAGCAAAAGCATACCCTCCTTCTTTGCATGCTTGAAGACAAGCTTCGATAGTTAAATCAGCGTCGGGGATTTGGTCTTGTTTCCATGCGAGAGTACGACCATTAGGCCCAAGATCGGAATAACATCCCATTGGTGTATAATCAGAAATGGTAGAACTATCGACAGTTGGGAATGTGGTATCTTGGTAAACTGAGAGGATATCGTTTCCACCGCACGATTCAGTATTATCCCCAGTACATGGGAAGGAACAGTTTGATTCGGACGTCTGTGGGCCACCAACAGAGGCACCGCAGAAACATTCTCCATAACTGTAAACAAGTCAGTAATGGCTTGGTGCTTTCAAGTAGAGGAATGTAGCCATCTGTCGCTAGTATGTTTCGAAATATTGCGCCTGTACTCACTATTCTAATCCAGCATATTTATATCCATTACCTACAATACATTAGTTACCACTCGTTAGACGAAATCTTTCAAAGACTTTACCTTTACAGAAATCAACACAAATTTCAACTGTCATGTTTTGACTATTTAGATCGGTCCTGAATAACAAAGCGCTTGGGGAGCTTGGATCTGTGAAACAGCCTGCGTAAACAAAGTCTGTGGTATTTGTACAAGTAGGAAGCTCTGGTGCCCATCTTTCAGCCAGTAGAGGACCAGCATTGGTGCCTAAAAAGAGTATAGTCATTGCTGTTGCAATCGAGAGCGAGGTGAAGCTTAACATCTTGGATAACAATGAGGTTAGCAAAAACAAAATACTGGCAGGCAAGACGTGTCAGAAGAGAACTGGGGATGTTGGAACCACTTTGAATATGAAGAATAATAGACTGTGAGGATAGGCTGAGACAATATATCCCCATTCCACACTTACAAACTATGGTGATGAAGGTACAGTCTTCGTGGAGATGAACCCGATGTTCGTTTGTGCCAGCAACTAGAATAATCTCGCAAAGTTATTCATCTGTTTATTCCTAGTATTAAGCACAACATTATTTGCAGATAAAATCGCGTGGCGCATGCATGGTAACTGTACGATCTTTGATGTTGTGAGCTATAGATAGTATGATAATGAAAAGGTCTAGACATAAAGACAATAGCTGACTATCAAATTCCGACGAATGCACACTTGCTCGGCTTTGCGGCAAGCCGAGAATATTGCAGATAAATTTCCAAGCTACATCATGTAAATTCATCTCGGCGAGATTATCATGGATTATCACGAGTGGAAGTTTTTGATGGTTTTGAGGCACAGAGGCGCGATAAAGTTTTTCCCCGACATCACTTTTAAAACATACTTGAGCATGTTCTTCATCTCACAATCTTCGGAGGAATCATCTTTTATCAAAATACGCCCAATGATGACCGAGAGTTCATGACAGCTTTAAATATAAGTGAAAAGGCCTTGAGGTCATTATTGATCCTTTCTAGGAAGCATCGATATTGACCTGAACATCCAAGTAACGTTATCTTTCCAAATAGATTGAACTTGTCCACTTCAACATTTTTATGGCTACTGCATCTGTTTTAGTCAGGAACGTTAGCATCAGATGTCCGACTTGAGATGAAAACCTTGTTATGAATGTAACCATATGATGTTGAAAGCTTTCCAGGTACCTCGATCTGTCCACTTGGAACTATTGAAATGAAGCAACTTTTGCGTAATTTTGTGCGGCTGACATGTAGAATATTGGAAATTGGTACATTTTGTCCTTTCACATATATGTTACCGTGAACACAATAGAATGTGAGTTCCATGTGGAATGAGGAAAATGACAAATATATTTCTAGGCGAGGGGTAACGAATGCCAATTGACTGAATATTTATTGTATACCTTCTAATTCTGAGGAACGACTACTTCACTTGAAGAGCTGAAATTGTCTCCTAAGTAGTAACTCGCACTGTACGGAGTGAGAATATCTGTGGAACTTCTGTGGAACTTCGTTGAACCATGCATGAAATCTTCTCCACACTCGGGGGTCTCATTTCGATGCTGCTGTGTAAACCCACAGTACTACTGGAGTATCATCAACTTCGTATCCCAAGATTCTTCATTCGCTTCAGAACTCTCGTAAATTGGTTCAGGCCGTCAAGTGTAGATATTCTTATGCGGGTATCGTGCATCTATTTTTGCACCATGACACGTCCACGAAAATAAGGGCTGAAGTTGTTTGGATCGTGATCAAGCTTTAATTTGGGAAGTTTTCGTGTGTATGAATCGAGTGAGCGGGTCAACGATACGGTACAGTGCCTCCCCAGATTGAAAGCTCATTTTGAGCATTCGTAGATGATATTTCGTTTCGCAGGTTGAGATCGTGGAGGAGTTGTGGACTTGCAAGTTGCACGGGCATTGTTCGACACGTGCGTGCCAAAGTCGACCAGAGTCCACCAGTGGCCCAACCGTAGTGAGTACTGTACAAAGAAGATATTTGTGAAATTGTCAATTGACTTTGATGTATCTTTTTCTGAATATATCCATTGCGTGAACTCTTCTAGTCAATTCAATCAAATTAGAATGATTGCTGTAGTTTTATTAGAGATAAATTTACATCACGTGGATACTTTTCCCTGTGTGTCTTGTTGCACATTTCCGAGATGTGAGTTGTGAAAACATACTGATTTGGGCTTCAGAGATTTAAGTTGGTTGGAGAAAGGGTGAGTGGAATGTGATCTGATTTCTGTGAACGTAAATCTAATTTTGAGATGCCTTCCCATGACAGAACCAACCCAAACATGATTTATCCCACTACATCGTGGTTCTCCTCCTCCCTCCTTTCCTGCCTGCCCAGGCCTACAGTAAACCAATGCAAGCAACTCCGTTTACCCAATCTTACTCCTACATAAGCCTGTCACCCCTCGTCTTTCTTAGTCTTCTTACTCCTGCCCTCCTGATTCTCCTTGCTCTCTTCATTGTTCTTACTCTCCTCGTTCTTTCTATTCTCCTCAATATTCTCACTCTCGCCACTTCCTTCAACTAAAGTCACACCACGTAACAAAGCTGCTCTTATCTGGTCCTTCAATCCTCTGTCGGTGTAGTCCTTCCTGATTAGCTCTCGGCATTTTCTTGTTCTCTTTCCCCTCTTTGAATTGTCTGTCATAAAGGTTTCTTTCCACTCTCTAATTGCTTCCTTGATCCCATCCTTTTGTTTTTGAATGCGAGCTTCGAAATAAGAAGATGGGTTCTCCAACATAGCTGATTCGATTTCTTTGAGTGCGTAGATTGCTGACAACCATTTATTGAAAGGCTCTATGCAGGTATTGGCGAATTGATGGTGCCAAGCTGCGCCGTGCTCATTGAAGATGTTGTAAACTTCACATTCTCCATCCTTATCCCATGTAAGCAATTCTTTGATGTTATTCTGTGTTTCCCCAAAGACTGTGATAGAGCAGATATCAAACTGATTGTAGAGAGCCATTTGTTCCAATGTTGTATCCAGATCAATTTCGTGTGCAAACCGATTTCGATCATGTTTAGTATCCTTCATATCTTTTGGATCGCGTACCTGTAGTTTGCGTTGTTTATCTTCCTTGGCAGAGAGGACTAATCGAGCCAATCGATCTCTCATGTTAACCACCTCACCAGCGTGTCTTCGCCTTTTGTCATTTTCCACCTTCTGGAATTTTGCTTTTAAGGTCTGGAATTCTTCTTTTGAGGTCTCTTTATGTTGTTTCAATTCCTTCAAGTCGGCCAGTACCTCATAAAGTGTGAGATTTGTTCTTTCGTGACGAGTGGGATCATTGGTGAGTATCCTCTCGCATGTGAACGTGTCTCTATGGAGGACTAATGCTGTAAAATTCACATTTCCTTTGACTTTTGATTGCATCGGACCAATGTCGCCTGACTCCAGCTGCTTCATACTCTGGGGAGCAAGAGGAACTCTTCCTACCAGAGAATAGGGTATCTGTGTTGCGGTGTTCTGTTGAATTCATTGTTAGTATACTATTTCTTTTTGATCATACAACAAGGTTGATTTCAAAAGATAAAGCAATATTTATGGTATAGATGTGTAGATTTATGGAAAACACAAATAGGGTTACGAACCTGCTCCAGATTGGATTGACCGGGTGCATTGTTGTGAATCTTGACATGATGTAATCTCGAGGCTGTAACAATACATCTCCGGGCCCACATTGCCGAAATTAATACGTTTTGACGAATCATTCTCGGGATGTAAACGTTTGATCAGGAGACTGAGGTTTGTGTGTGGAATAAAAGATGTAGAACTAGAATGGTGCCAAGGGCCAAGATATTGGCCCAGGATTAGCTAATCCAAGCTAAGCTAATTTAGTAAGTACACGTGATAAAAGTATAACCTTAACAGAGACGAAACAAATATTGGTAGATGAAAAGTCTATCCTCAGGATGGGACAGTCGTATGCTAATGATGGTGGCGACGGTGATGGTTATGGTATACCTTGATGGTAATATTGTTTTTGGTTCAAGTTTGAGGTATCGGCATTGATCTAGAGTTCTTAAATGATCATTTCAAAGGTGCTCGAGCCATTAGCCAAAGTTGCTTGTTAAATTTAGTCAAAAGACAGTTGTATGAACTGTAGTGAATGAGACTAAGTCATATGCTGACAGCCGTATTGAATAATTGAGAATTGAGCATTAAGCAGGACACCAGAAGCCTTTTTTGGACAAAGACTTGTGCCTCCCTGTAAGCAGCACATAAAAACAGGAAGTTCAGGAGCCAACAAGGAAATAGACTAGGAGCCAGAAGCTCAAAGGGTCAAAGTACCTAGGTAGCTAAGCGCTGGCAATGAGCAGTGCCTGTCCGCATGACTTGCTCAATGATTCACTATCAGTGTAGTGAAGAATACTGAATGAATTGAGGAAGAGATGTTTGTGTCTACTAGTACCTAGTGTGGTGTAGTTGTGCAACGGGAATCGGAAAATTTATTAACCGAATGATTTACCCTCGTTCGGATCATTTGTAAGCATTGATCATGTGATGTGCTGGTGACGAGGCAATGTTCTGGCTTCACAACCTTGCAATCTTGATTAAATGGTAGGCATACACGATCCAACATTTGTTATCGATCGATACCTAGGATTAACACAACAATTTGGGACTGGATTGGATTCAATATTCATGGTTCACCTTCGCTTATGTACAGTCACAGAGTAAGAACCAAAGAAAGCAGCAATATGCTCCCACTATTTGTGTGCCTCGGCGTGTGTCATCTTTCCGCTTAATCACTGCAATCACTGCAGTCAGCAACAACTAGGTATTACCTAGGTAGACATGCAAAAATTGGTTCAGGCCGATGGAGACTCTTATAAGTTGTTGATACGAGCTGTTTACCTGAATAGGTTGGTAATAGATAACATAACGAATGATCTGACAGGCATTTTTGCCGCCTGGCTATAAGTATCAAGATGATGGTATTGACCACTCTTGCCGAACTTTCTCTCAAGATCTAAATCCCATCGTTGCGCAAAGTTTTACTCTCATTAAAGAATTATGCATCAGACGATTGAAAAGAGATGACTTGCCCGCTCTCGCTGATCTCGGAACTGAAGCATTCCGTGATGACGATTTACAAACCATACTTTTTCCTCCCGAAGCTGTTGCAAATGGCTCACTCCGGCGAAGTGTTAATTTGCGACATAAGAAAACGTCTTGTTGAAGCTGGCACACATTGTTATGTCTCGATGAGCGATGAGGATGATGAATATTGGTCTGGAGAATCTGAGTTGCTTGGATACGCTTTCTGGACAAGAGTGGGAAAGAGCGAAGCAGCGAAGAAGTGGCAAACTGATACTTTATTTTCAAGTATGATCTTCCATATCTTCTCTCTCGTCAATTCACTAATCATAAAAACAGAATTGGAAAGAACATTGATAGGAGCAGAAATGTGGTATTCTGAGTACTTCCTTGATCGCGACCGGCCTTGGGATAAGATCCATTACATGAGGAATCTATCGATTGATCATTTTGGCTCGATCCCAGAGTATTTGGAGTTGGCTGCATTAGCAGTACATCCCAAATTTTATCGTCGCGGTATTGGTGGAATGATGCTCAAATATGGAATTGATTTGGCTCAAAAAAAACAAGTTCCCCTTGTACTAGAAGCCTCTCGTGCTGGAACTCTGCTATATACAAAGAACGGTTTCAGAGAAACTGGAAGAACTGAAATGTTTCCAGAAGTGATAGTAGTTGCTATGCAATTGGATCCAAAAGTTTGATTATCTATTGGTTGGGGCATTGAAATGGATTGAAGTGAATTCAGATGTTTTATTAGTGACAATGTATGTATTCATTAATGTCATTGGAGACCTCTTAGCTAGCAGTCTTTTTTTCATTCATTCTTTCTTGATTGAATCATATGATCTCTCTAATCAGCATAAGTTCTTCAATTTACTGTCACAGAAGTTACGTAGATGGAAGGTCCGGATGCGCCAGCTTTAGACTCTAGCTGCAATCTATACCTTGGGAGTTCCGTCACACAAGCTCTTGTGTTGCCTCCATTCAGAGGCTTTTTATGTTTTAGGAAGTTGAAACTCTTACTAAATGGGCCAGAGTCACAAAACACTTTCCTAGCCAGAGTCCCAGAGTCCTTTAAATGTATTTCAGTATTTTGGTGAACTTCATGATCGATTTTTACTCATGAACCATTCTCAAGAATGACTTCCTACATGAAAAAACACTGCAGATCGGTTAGTCGCCGCATTTCTGAAGTGCCAAATTTGAGGACACTGGCAGAAAAGAAGTCGTCCTTGAGACCACTCCCTCTTGAAACTCCAAACCGAGACATAATAACCCCAGAAGATAAGACGCCCCAAGACTTGCAGCTTTCTCAAAGTGCGATTCCTGAAAATATTCAAAAGACATTCAAGAATGCAATAATTTCGAAGAACAAGGATACTGACACAATATCTCCTTCAATCCAAAAATCTAAGAAACCAAGCTCAACCTCTTCCGAATCGACCATTATCAACACAAGCATCTCACCCATTCTCTCCACAACCCTCTCATCCACTATCCCTTTCACCACCAAATCCAACAAAAACGGTCCCGACGAAAAATACCAAATCAACTCTCACCTGCTCTTCGAATCCTCTTTCCCCGGCCACACATATATATCCGTGCATCTCCAACGCCTCCAACATGGTATCTATTCCGATGCAAATCTACACACCAATCATACCTTGCACGTAACATTCGTCGCTCTCAGTTTCATACTCCATCCCTCTACCCCTGCGCACCGTTTCGAGAGCGCCGTAATCGATATCAAAGTCCGTGATCAGAAAGGAAATTTGAGATTTCTCAAATATGCGCCCCATCAAGCATATGGGAAAATAAGCACAGAGAGTTTGAAGTGGAATTTTCAATTGGGGGCTTCACTAGGAGTAACGCAGGGACCGGCAAATGTGTGTGTAAAACCGAGTATTGGGGAGGAAAAAAGTAAAGTTGTAGGGACGATGATGAAGATGTAAGTCTTACGTTTTCCTTTCTTTATGCTTCTGCTCGTTTTCTTTTGTGTATTTCGATCATTAATTATGGCGACGTATGTTTGAAGACAGGGTTCCACACGCAGCACTTTCGAGCATTCGACTCGGTATCCGGATACACTACTTCATTTTTCGCTCGAGGAAAATGCACAGCAGGAATCGGGGCTTCCGCGGGAATTTACATTTGTGTTCTTGCTTGAGAGACCGAGTGAGAAACAATATCCGCCCGTTCATACGTTTCATTCATCTAGACTTAAAATACTTGAGCATCGCATTTCTGAGAAACTGAGGAGTATAAGTGGGAGAGGAAAGAAACATGAGGATCAAGAGGAGAGTTGTATGGAATATAGATATGAAGATATAGCTGGGGAGAAAGAAATACCGAGATTAGAGGTTGAGAGATTAGATGGGGATTTTGAAAAGATATTTGGGGAAGTAGAATTTGAAATTGGGATTGAACCTAAAAGTTTGTTTTTCCTCCTACTTCCCCTCTCCCTTATTCCCCTGTCCCAATCTCCCTAACAAAAACACCCAGTATCCAACACCCTAGCCCTCCCCTCTCTATCCTCCTCCCTTTCTACGCTCCCCCGCACAAGCGGTTATGTCCACAACAGCGCGGCACACACCGAAACCACCAGAGTTCTTGGTGAAGTAGGCCAGAAATTTCCCACAGAGGGAACGCTCGATAGTATGGGAAAAGTTGAGCATGAAGAAGCGATTGTGCATGGATTGTATAACTTTGCGAAGTTGGGAGGAGCGTTTGAGGAACAGGTTAGCTTGCCAGGGGCGAGTGTAGGCAGTAGAGTGCCAGAGTTGGATGGTGGTGGTACTGCGGGTGGGAGATAGGTGAGATGGGTTAGGGTAATGAAACGGCATGGAAGAGTAAATAAAAACGGTTGATGGCCAATTGTGAAAGGATGTAAGAGAAACATGCATGAAAGACATGTGGATTGGGTGGGCTAGTGTATACATAATAGGCGGAATAACATATCCTGTACGAAGCTTTGTCCCATATCCCGTATATTTTTATGTAAAGCAACTCACCAACTTGCGTCAGTCATTTATACCTTCGTCTTGTCCTTGGACTTGGTGTTAAAATCATCTGTCATTCCGAGATATTCGAAATCAATCAATGATCCAAATTTATCTCCGCGCAGAAACTTAGGCTTGACTTCAAGCTGGAAAGGGTGAAAATGAGCACTATCCATCTTCATAAATATTTGAGCATGGCGCAAAACGGCGAACAAATGAAAAATACGTGTCCGAGGTGAGAGAGCCTTATATTTGGACGGGCTCGATCTCCCGTACAGACGTATATCATCCATATACTATGATGTTCATTATCATGTCTCTCATATGCCTTACATTCTCTAATATCAATATTCAATCCTCCCCAGTCAGCGATACAGCAAAATGCTTCGCGGGAGAAATTAGTCTCAACCGCCTTATTCAAATTCTCCCCATCTCATCCCAAATCAAATCTTTGACCCAATCCCTAATCCTATCCCTTTACCAAACATCCTCCGGCATAACCACAAAACTCTCCCCATTCTCTCTAACATGTTTTAAATTCTTATCCCTCTTCAACGGTTTCCGCATGTCATACGCATCTTCCCCCTCTCCCTCATCCACCTCTTCTCCCCCCACAAACTCGTTATAATATCCTTTGACCGTCCTAAAGACACTATATCCCAGTCCTTTATAAAGTTCTTGAGCAATCATATTACTCTTCCTCACAAACAAATCCACAAACCAAGCATCATATTCTTCTCCTCCTTTCTCTAAAACTTGAGACAAAGTCCTCGCAAGACCCAATCGACGTGCAGAGGGAGAAACTGTGAGAGCAGTAATATGCGCGTGCCATGGTAGGTAATGCGGAGATTGTGAGAGAAGCATGGATTGTGGAGAGGATTCCGTTTTGCCCATTATGTAACCGGTGATCGCAGAAGAAGGAGATAGAGCGACGGTGAAGAGATGTGGCCATCGTGCTAGATAGGAAAAGTAGAAACTGAGATCGTAGGTTTCAGTTAGGGGGTCGAGGTTTGTAGGATTAAATTTTAGAACGTCAAGAGCGGAGAATGGGCGAAGAGTTGTCATTTTGATGAGGGGTAGTGGGATGACGGTTCTTGGACTGATGTTGGGATGGTGATTTCTAAGCTGCTTGAAGCTCTGATCGATGATCTTGTACTCAAAAGTCTGTTATATTGTTGAGTGTACGATTTTCAACTTTGGTATAGTTTTGTGAGGGATTTGGACAATATGGTGAGCTGTGGGTAAATTCGTAAGACATGAAAGATACTTTGTAGCTACAACATAACTCAAAACCATAAACCAAAAATATATTGCCATTTGTCACCGCTATCATCGAGTACCGAACGCCGATGATAATGCGGCACATCCAGAATCAACCGTTGCAAGGAACTTGCTTATACTTCCAAAACACCAAACTAATACGTTCAACAGAGAGAAAACCAAAATGGAATAGTAGGTACGAATTCTTTCCTGTCAAACCGCACAGATAGATACCTCCTTCAGCCTACCTCATCGCCAAGTGTCATATCATCTCAGATAAGGATTAGACTTCCAGGGACCCATCAATCCTCCTCGCCAAACCATCTTGCACGGTGTTTTACTCTGCGCTGGTTCACAATAATAATAAAAGCGAGATTTGATATCACATTTGAGGACTACCCTGTTGACATTAGCTGCTGTCTGGTGCTATAACAAGGTTCAAGTGTCTTTGGGTTTCCACGTCGACAATACAGCGAAGAAGGAAAAGAAACATTGTTGTTTTACTAACCATCTATATTTGTGCGCGGAGTCATATTCACTCACTCATACCATTATACTACGACTCCTACGACTTTGCTACGGCTTTTTAGGAATACGAATATTGGTTCATATTGCAGATCGAAATAAATTCGTTTTAGGAAATCGAATAGGAGAGAATATATTACATACGGCTGTAGGAAATCATACCACATCAAACGGAAGGAAAACATAAAATCACACCGCATACGATTCTGAATCACAAAATTCCCTAAACACGATAGGAAGACCGAGAAATTAAACTTCGATACCTGTCAAAATGCCTCCTTCACCACAAACTCCTAGGCATAGCCGACACCCTTCCGCACTGGATTTCTCACCCTCAACAATGAGCCTTTCACGTAGACTTTCCAAATCTTCCATACATACACCGACTACACCAAATCATATGAGTCGAGACTTTAGTAGTAGTGTTGATGGAGTTGGTATGGATGTACTTGGATCAGCGCAAAACGGAGGAAATGGACTTGGAAATCTAGCAGATGAATTAGCAGATGCATGGAGCGAAGATGAAGGAGAAATGGACGAAGCAGATCTTCATTTTCAAAGCACTGCACCAGCGGAATCGGATAATGAGGATGCGGAAGAAGACAAGAACGCAGTGAGGGATAGTGGTGTAGATGTTACCAGTCCCAAAAAACAACATACAGCTATGAATTCAAATTCGACTTTAACACCGCCGACAGCCGGGCATGGGAGAGTTCATGCGTTAGGCCATGCGAGGTCGCCTTCTGAGTACGATGGAAGTGATTATGGGGGAGATTCGGATTTGGAGAGTCCGGCCTTTGGACCGGCTTTATTGGCGAGAATGGATATGGTGGAGGGGTTGGCAAGGAGGGGTACGGAAAATAACGGGAGTCAAGCTGATGGGGTTGTTAAGAGGGTCATTGAGAGTTTGAAAGATTTAGGAGGTCAATCTGGGGTGGAGGGAAATACTACTAGGTTTGTCATTTTTTCTGGATTTCTATATCTTTTATTTCCTCCTTTCGTCAGAGAGTTATACGTCGTACTCCTGTAGAAATGCTAACCCAAACAAAAGACTAGTTACAACTCATACAGCGCTTTCTACGCATCTCCTCCATCAAACCCGTCTCATCCAGAACCTTTCTCACCCCCTCTTCTCTCCTCTGTCCGCGCCGCCTACTCCGGAATTTATAGACGCACTCCTCCCTCTTCTCGACACCCTTAGCGAATCTATCCCTCGCCCTTCAACACAATCCCTCTCATCGATTACCTCCTTACATTCTCTGACCACCGATTTAATTCAAACAATAACATACTTGTCGGATACATTACATATGTCTAGACAAACTACAGTACAGGCATCGAGGAAATTGAAATCAGCAAAAGAATTGGTCGGCGAAATGAGAAGGGAAGAGGAGCTCAGAGAAGAAGGAGAGAAGTGGGTAGAACAAGGAGATTGGGAGAGAAGGCTGGGGGAAAGAGAATGCGCCGGGGTATGTAGAGGGGTAGTCGGGGGATTTGAACAGGTTTGTGAAGACTGGAGAAGGAGATTAGTAGAGAGTGCTGGTGGTGAGGTGGGTGCTTGAGATGGTAGTATGGAAGAGGGCATGACATGGAATGACATACAGATGTTGAGGAGAAAATACACCCGCGCCGAATAAATACTAAGGTTCAAGGCAAGAGCACACAAAGTGCGAGATGTGGATCAACATAGAAAGACGAGAAGTTATCTAAATACCAGACCGAATAGGGGAATGGGTTCAGGTCAGGCGCTTGGATGGATATCCGGATAGATAGTTGGTTGACTGGTTAGTTGGCTGGCTGGCTCACCACTTGGATGGATGGATTCATGGATGGATAATATAGAAGGCGTGAAGATAAATAGACAGATGAGCCTTTCTCCTCGTCAAATAAAAATATAAATACAAATTAAATTTATGACTCTTTTGTATACATATGGATTGAGGAAGGGTGGGAGGCAGATACCTAGGTACTTTTAGTGAAGTACGGATGGATTGTGTGAATGAAGGAAAATGGCGTTTATGAACAAATCTAGCGTCCCCGAAGTCGGCAAAGAGTTTGAGGTAGGTGGAAATAAAAGATTTCGATTCTGAGATCTGGGTTCGTTACAGCAGAGTATAGACTTGCAAAAGACTCCCTAACATGTTGCTATGATTAGATCAAAGCAGTCATTTTGACTCGTTTAGGTAGGTAGAGGGAGAGATTGATTATCAGAGAAGACTTCAGAAAACATATTTAACGGATAACGATAATATTTTTTGTTTTTGAAATAGGAGTTATACCAAGTGCTATCAAACCTAGCAAGTGCCAACGGAACGAGAGCTTGATAATGATGATGAGATCCAGTAAGTGGTGATAATTCGTCATTGTCATAGGGTGCTCTCGCTTCGTCGCTTGGGGTTGAAGTCCATTCATGAGTTTAGAGTTTGGTTTCCTAGGGCTGGATTGGGGTCGCGAGTTGGAGGGAAGTATAGTGCGCAGCGTAAGGTGATTTTGGCGCTCTAGAGAGCAGCAATGGTTCACTTGGAAACTCTCTATTTGGTTTAGTGTGAGTGATTCTGGAAAATTTACACTTGGTTGGGAAATGTTCATGTAGCCGTCGTTTGGTGCGCAGACTGGGGATTAGATGTTCGGAGTAAAGTGGAGCGGAGTAGGATAAGAGTGAATAACGCGAGCAGAAGTGCTCTATGTTATGTGCACCTTCCTAGGTGGATATGACAGTTGGTTTCTCATTTGGGCTGGGGCTTGATTATCGTCAATTCTTAGATAGCAATGATGGATGTCCTGAGATGACTGTTCTCGAATATTGGCTGGATCCAAATGTATTAAAGAGATATAAAGTCTTCCGGGTCTTGAGTAAACTCGATCAATCCAAGAGTAGCTTCATTATTAACAAGAATTGCGACCAGTAACCGAGGATATCCAAAACTCTTTCTATGGTATGCTGTGTTCGTTTCGGGCTGAGAGATACGGTACCCGAATCAACAGAGAAATATCGGGGGGTTCTTTCTTGTGGCTTGGTTGCGATGTGGGAACAAGTGTTATACGACAACAAAGGTGTACTTTATCGGAAAGGATAGGCGTTGGTAAAAAAAAAACAGGAATTGACAGCAAAGGTGCTGAAACAAAAAGATGATATTCTGGTTAGAGCGTTGATGGGTTTACTCCTTTTGATGCTCCTGGACGGATGTGGACTCTGCAGGACATCTCAATGGTGCAATCACTGTTCTTTGATTGGTGATATACCTGTCACTTGTGGACTTACTGAATATTCTTTGATACAAGACTTTCTTTTATAGCTAAGTATTGAGAAGTTTACTGAGAATATGGAAGGGGTGAATAGGTTGAGCAGGTGAATCCATCAGATGTCTACCTAGGTACTTGCAATCATGCGAATGAATCACTTAGATTTCGAGGAGTATCATGCCCCTATCCCCATACAATTGCTGCTCCTCTAGTCCATTTAAACAATTCACTGTCTCTCATGACCTCTACCCCTCTTTTACTGCAACAGTCGAGAGTGTTCTGTCCTCTAGTTGTGGATATATAAACACTAGAATATCACTTGTATGTTCTCCATTATAGGAACACAGAGTATGGAGACCTATAATGCGCGCCTTTCGGAGAAAAATTTCTTTCTTCGTATTATGCAAAATTTGCTTGTACTAGGGAAGAGTATGATGAAATGGAAGGAGAAAGGGGATAAAGGGGAGGCATGTGGATTGGGATATGGCAGTTAGTGAGAGTAGCAATAAGGCCCACCGCAATTGACAATAGTAGCAGATAACTGAGATTGACAATGAAGTTCTATGAGATTAGATGGATGATACACGAAAATGCTATACATAAATTATTCATCCACGTAGCATGCTGAGGCCGTTATATAGATGCCATAGCACTACTCTTTTGCAGATCTGCTTGCTGCTAGATAATTTCTTACTTCCACCTGGCTCTAGTGTGCCTCTCAAGTTCTCTTTGCTTTGCGCTTACGGTTTACGAAGTTGTCTTTCAGTAATCACCTTGAAAATTCGAGAATTCGAGCCTGTAGTGAATACAGACAGACAAGGTGTAACGTGGATGTTTTTGATCGTGTTGGTATAGATCATTCACTTGCTCACTAGAGCCTCTTCATTAGTTTAAAAGACTCCATTGAGAATTAAGAATTTTTAAATCATTGTTTCTCAATTCCATACATGTATCGAAGTCATCTTATGAATAACGGTAGCTCTCACTTTAAGATATACATGATGATTGGGAGTAAGGGTCGTTTAGATTTAAGCAATTAATTGTCGGGCTTCCGAGAAGATCTTGGAAAGATATAGAACTCAACGGAGAGACGAGATAATTGAATGAGTGAGTGATGAGGTTGGTTGGACTAGGTTGCAACGACGACTTTCAATGTCTCTCTCAACAGCGATTTTGGAAAAGTGGCGACGGTATGATGAGAATTAGATGAGAGAATCATTTTATAGCGTCTACTCAGCACCAATTTTCCTCTTTTTTCTATTATAGACCCTCAAAACAGTATTTGAGATGAGATTTGACCATCTTTAGAATTCCACCACACTCCTAAGTTTCTCCGATGACGTTCTCGAACTCTCTACAAATTAATGTGAACGAGAAGGTCAAAATTACTGATCAATACTACAAAAATGGATTTACAAATCTTGTAGCTGGGACTCAACCACTGGTGCGAGATTCACTCATTTTACTGTCTATCATGTGTGAATCCACACTCCAGTTTTGCTGTAATTGGATATGTGAGGTTGAATCGAGCTGGTCTTGCGTTTTCTTCTTCATGAAGTTTTACAATTCCATCATATAAACAACGACTTCGATTGAAACTCATACATGTGTATAGACAAGCTCCAGTCGAGAGACACTGGTTCAGGAGAAATAATTGATACAAACTTTATGATCGCCGAGGTTTGTCGTCGACTTTTGAGCTACTTGGATACTTGATGAAGGCATTTTAACTTTGATGATGCGAAGTAAGAACGTCAGGAAACATGGGATTGATGTATATCACTCAATGACAGCGAAAGCTTCGATACTGTTCTCGTTCTAGCGTTGATAATAATAAGTGATTGAGAAAGGAATAACGGTGAGAGAGTATGAATGAGAGTATATGATATTCGTCCGGTGCAGACTTGTGATACATAGACTCTGACCTTTAGACTTGTACATATGTTGCTTTTCAGAGCCCATGTAGCTTCCTAAAGGATCTAATGTCATAGACAGGCGTCTTGTGATGCGTGATCCAGTTCGTTTGCAGGTTTGAGTGACTTTAAATGACATCACTCATCTGAAATATGTTAACAGCAACACGGTTATTTCAACAACAAATGGTATAACGAAAGCCGGATGAAAGGATGAGAGGATGAAAAATTGCAAGTCACCTTCACTATCAGTATGACGTGCAATCTTGCCCGCCTCTAAGAGGGTGTTTTGATGCTTCAGAATATATTGAAGAACATTGTACAATTGTGAATGTTGTTTGATTGATTGGTTATAGTGACGGGGATCTCGATGAGATGAACTATCTTTATAAGGCCCTATCAATGCAACAACCCCCAAAGCTTAATCTCGAGACTCTCATAAAGAATTCACTGCTCTAAAATGTGCTCATAAATAGGTAATGAAGCGGTAATTCACATACACAAAATGATTCAGTACCTCATCTTTCATCCCCAATCTTGTTATCGCCTATTTGCAACACTATTTAAATTATATCTCATAGCAAATTCTTGTACTTGCGTTCCATGACCGATAACTATATGTCGGCTTATCTTCTGAAATGGCTTTGAATCATTCGCATATAACAAGATCGCTTCTGGTAATACCAGAAACGATAAATTGAAACTTCTCAACCCTCATTGATATCTATTTCTTCTCAAAAGCGGATTGCTGTCACTCAAATATCCCGCTTAATGCGAATGGCGATGGTTAGATTATCTCCGACGACGAAAAGTTCAAATGGTAGATTGAAGAACTCATTTATCCCAAGATGATTTCTTACAGGAGAAAAGCTTCGCATAAATCGCTTAGCTACAGTTACATATTGCAGGTTCGATTTGACTTCCATCCTAAAAAAAATACTTCGTTCCATCTCGAGCCCCCATTATACAGAGAATATTGTGGGCGATGGGGCTCTTTTTATAACGAACCAGAAAAAATTCTGGCGCGACAGCACTAACAGTCGCCTCTCTTTCCCACAGATCCGCTCTTCAAGTCAACGCCATGCAACTCCAGTACCTCGGATGGATCAGATAAGATTTCAAAATCGACCAGGTGTGCATGAAGATAAGACTCACTCAATCCACCGTGTGGGTTCTATATATTCTTTAAGATAGCTAAACAATACCCTGCTAAGTCTCAAATTTTAAGCATGATAGGTTGACAAGATCCATAACTCCCGTACTAACATACGTGAGTTGAGTTGTTGGCTAAAATTGATTGAAGAGATGTGAGACTATGTTGTGTATGTATGTCAAATAACTGAGTATGGATATACGAGAACTCGACTGCTAACACAACAGCGGAATAATGAGCAGCTAAATGGCGACCAAAATTGTTCATATGTTCATCAATGATCAACTTGTATGAATAGTTTGTAAGCTTCAGATATATGGATGAAAATATGCAAGTAGTATAATTGAAGTGATCGTCCTACCACCAAAAGACAACTTCCTTCCCCACAAGACTCATACATCCCCGCTGTCTCTGAAAACTTACGCGAACTCTCGTTTAGAAACGGTATTTAAATTGAGACATATCATCTATTACAAGTCTATCCACATTCAATATGATAAAGCTTTTAACAACGACAATATAAGCGTCTTGAATTAGATTAAAAAAAATCGGATTTTTGCAATGAAAGGCTTGTGCAGTTACAGCATACACCCCGACAAATTCAAC